TTGCACATCAATTGTCTACTACTCTGAGACATAGAAAAAATGAGCATGCTGTAGATTAGCCTTTGACACTTTCGAGTGAGAACCTGCTCTATTGTCTCAACTACAAAGAATCTTTCACAGCTCAAGGTCAAGCTTTCTTGGTTGTGAATTCTATGTGCAAATTCTACACCCAGAAACAGACTTCACAAATTGAAACATTACATGGGTCTGACTTTCTGCATACTGAGTCAATGAGGTTTTTTTTTCAGGGCTTCAGACAAAGCTTGAGCAAATAGACCCTGCCAGAAAAACAATCAAAAAATGTTGGTTCTTCTATGATGCAATGTGGTCAATGTTTGTGAGACAGACCGCCTGGTACTCCGACCGGGTACCTCCATCAATTGCTGCTTCCTAGTACTTGTGAGCACCATAAGCACCGCACTGGAACACCATAACCACCGTAAACCCCACAAACCGCCGCAGCTTGGTTGGGGTCTCGCTGTACTCCACCCACCCTGGACCCAGGACCAAGATCCAACTGCCAGTGGCTAGACCTCTGCTAGTCCAGAGAGCAAAGCAGGCTGCTCTTACAAGAGCAATCATTGTGATCCAAGGGAGTATAGTGATTATAGCAATCCCCAGAGTGAATATAGCTCTCCAATCCCCCAAACATGAGCCTAGATTTCATGAAGGGTAAAACAAATCTGTTTAATGGCAGCCACAACTGACCTTATATGCAGGTCCCCATGCAAGGGACACTCCCCCATGGATCTGAGAGTACACTACAGTAAAAACATATACACAATTACATTGGCTCTCAGGTCCAGGACACTACCCTACAAAATAGGTCAATCCCTCCCCTATGCCTGGGAGATAATTGAGTCAGCACTGCATTAAACTCAATTATCTACAGGCACAGAAAACATACATTCTTACAAAACCTCAAAAATACCTTAAAACACATAAAATTCCCACAAAAGTTACAACCCTGACAGCCCTGATCTGGGTGACCAACATATCTAAAAATCACCCAGATCGGTTCAGGGGTTCAGGAATTTCCTGAAAGTCATAATTTGACCGACCGCACGCATGGTCCCATCCGCAAAACAGTTCCAGAGAATCAGGGTTCGCGGTTGGTCTAGTTCGGTAGTTTGAAAACCGAACAAACTACCGAACAGAGTCAATGTTCTTACTCTGGAGCTTGTTCCCCTTTATCGTGGGAATGTTTCCACCGAACAGCGCCTTTCTAAGTGTTGTAGAACCGAACGCAGGCGATGCTGGAAGTCCAGCGGTGTTTCTGTGTCCGTTTTCAGTTCCATGAGGTTCATGCCCAAACACTCACCATTCATGCGAACAAGATGGCCATCACCTTGTAGTAGTCCATAGGAATTGCGGCCACCCAGACGAACACTTAGAATACTGCGGTGGAAATTGCTACAAAGTAGCAATTAGGCTTAACAAGCTCCAGGGTGGTCTCCGGTTCGTGCGGCTGTTTGGTTCCCGAACCAGATATAAAATCGCACGAACCAAGTCTGTTCACATCGTTTTTTAAAAGGCCTTTTGGTAAGATGCTGTCCAGCAGGCCCCTCCAAGAACACGTGATGAGGCACAGTTTGTATCTGCATAACCCCATGGCATACATGAATGTCCTTATGGGAAGCCATGCAATCCAATTGTAAATGTTTGTTGGTCAGCCATCTTGATGCCGCATGTTTCTACTGTTGCATTGGGGAGTTCTATATTGCTTACCAAAACTATGGAATACTGCTAAATATGTTACCATTCTGTGGTGGACAGCTTCTACTTGACAGAGGATCTAGATTATTTGTGGATTGTGAGTATAAAACCATGATGGTCAAAAATAAAAGCTTATATTAACAACACCTCATGTAAGATATGAAGCACAATGGTGTTTTGTGAATTTTGTTTGTACTCACTATAATGGTGAGTACAAGCCCCGCCTTTGATTGACATTCATAAGGGGTTTCTATGAACTTTTGGGCAAGAGAACTAGTGTCTTGCACTATTGTGGAGACTTGGAGCTGCTGAATGTAGTGGTATAGATCCAATGTCTACTTCTAACAGAAAAGTTTCAAGGCACTTTGACTTTGAACAAATCAAACTTGACTAACCCTGTGATTTCAGATTATGGTGTTATTTTCTTTATGGTTTTGGAACACTACAAAGGAGAGTAGGATTAAGATACGATGGGGCCTTAGGAAGGTTACCAGATTGCCCCCTCCCTCTTTATTCTTCACATAGGTATAGTCAGGGCCGGACTGGGACAAAAATGCTGCCCGGGCAATTAAGGGCAGAGCAGCCCACTTTTGGGGCAGGGACAGAAAGGAGGCGTGTAATGTCACCACCATTGACACGCACACCCTTTCCCCCCACCAAATGAGTATGTTAATGTGACGCTCCTCCAGAGCATCCAGTGCTCTTGGATGAAGTAAATGATATTGTTTTTTTGGGAGGAGTTAGTGCAACGAAAGCATGCGCTGTGTTTGCTGGTGATTTGTCTCTGGTGTTCTCAATAGTGGGATACCAGAGAACAAAACAGGAACACGGCTGTTAAAGTGTGCTGTGCATGTGTGGGGATGTTCTCTTTGGTGTTGTATATGTTTGGAGGTTGCATGTGTGCAGAGCAGACTATTTGTGTTGTATTGTGTGTGTAAAGGGGTCTATTTGTGGCGTACTGCATGTGGCTATGGGCTGTAGTGTGTGTGTTTTTTGGGTTGTAAAGTATGTTTCTGTGTGTGTTTATATAGGGCCTGTGGAGTGTGTGGGGCTAGAGGATGTAGTGTGTTCATGTAAGGAGCTGTACTGTGTGTTCGTGAGTGTTTCTAAGGGCTCTAGTGTGTATGCATATAGGAGCTGTAGAGCACATGTGTATAGGTGCGGTAATGTATGCATAGGTGGTGTAGTGTGTACAGGGGGTGCAGAATATGTATTAGTAGGGGATAAAAATTAGTGTGTGTGCATGCAGGGGGTGTAATGTGTGTGTTTATAGGGGTATAACGTATGAGAGTGCAGGGAGTGTAGTGTATGTTTGGCGGTATAGAGTGTGTTTTTCTGTGTGTATGTGAGTGCCAGGGGTAGAGTGTGTATATATAAGGGGTATAGAGTGTGTGTAGTGTGCTTGTGTGTACGTGCAGGAGGTGTAGTGTGGATATAGGGGTATTTTTTAATTGAGTCTGTCACCAGATCAAAAATATTGAGTGTTTTATAAAGTTGCAGTGTGTTTGTGTGTTAGTGCAGGGGGTGCAGTGTGTGTATATATAGGGGTATAGAGTGTGTGCAGTGTGTTAATGCAGGGGGTGCAGTTTGTGTGGTGTGTTAGTGCAGGGGTGCAGTGTGTTTGTGTGTTAGTACAGGGGTTCTGTTTGTTTGTGTGTTCGCACAGGGGGTGCTGTGTGTGTAGTGTGTTAGTGCAGGGGAGCAGTATGTTTGTGTGTTACTGCAGGTGGTGCAGTGTGTTAGTGCAGGGGATCAGTATAATCCCATTTACTCCCCTTTATAACTTTGCAGCGGGGAGAGGGAGCATTCAGATACCTGGTGGTCCAGTGAGAGGGGCCATGCCACACACAGATCCCTGGTGGTCCAGCTGGCAGGTTATTTGGTCTGTACCTCTGCAGGGTACAGACCACGTCTCTCTCTCTCTCGTTTTTTTTTCGGGAAAAGGTATGGGGAACATGGGACAGGCTCCACCACAGGCATAGCACGCCCTAATGCTGGGAAGGGGTTAATAAGTAGCAAGCATGCAGTGAAATACAGGAGTTCTTCATAGACATAGGTGAGCAATATGAAACTATAAACTAGTCAGCATAGAAAACAGAATTGCCGCCCAGTAAAATAATGCTCTCATCTAATAAGCATATACACTGGCACCTGGCTTCTCATGTTCAAGTTGAGGGGAAGCAGAGCGGTTCCTGGTTGAACCATTGTAAGTATTACTGTCCTAAAACAGTTTTACAGATTATGCGGAGACACTGCCAGGACACTCCTGTAGCAGTAGGTAGTACTTATGGTGCTTGGAGTGTTCTTTCAATTGAGTCTGTCACCAGATCAAAAATATTGAGTGTTTTATAAATTTGGAATTTCTATCAAATAATTCACATTGGTGAAATCAAAAGATATTTTAAGAGAAAGTAAGGACTATGATGTGTTGACAAAAGTTGATGTCACGGATTCAGTCAAGTTTTGATAATTGTCACAGCTGACACTAGCAATGGCTATGACAATCATGCTTCTTCTTGTGGATGGTGAGATAATGCTAGGTTATTCACTAAAGTGAGATTTTTTGGGAATTCAAAGTGAGTTTCAAATATATATTCCACACAGTCAGAGGTTATTCCCTAAACTGTAAGAAACAATGGATTAGTAAATCGTATGCCAAAAGTGACAGCTTTGCTTGGTTAGCAGTGGTCCAGGGGTGTAGTAGGTAGGTATGATTGTAAGCGAAATTCTCCAAGTCAGCTATGTTTGCAGTTTGGCTACTTTGGCCATATATTTGAAATTCAGTTTGAATACCTGACAATTCTCCCTTTTATTGTATGGAGGATTTGTGTTCTCACAGTATGCTCTGTGGAAATCAGTTTTATACTTTTGCGCATGCGCAAGAGAGTACAGCACGGGCGTGGCTCAAGCTGGCGCCTACACTACACCACTGCCAACAGAGTAGAGATATTCGGTTGAGTTTTATTGGCACCAAATTAGTGAATCCTGGCCGTTTCCACTTGTAGTAACCATTTACTGTGTGTGATATATAAATAGCATTCACTTACAGCTGAATATAGTACAGTACACGCATATCTCCATAGAGCACACTATAAGCTAGCCGGTATCCCAGCTTTGGCACTCTCACACTACACACACACTATGGCACCACTCATCCAGCCTCACATGGACATGCTCAAGGTTATAGAGAGCATTTACCCAGAACCCCCCGCGGCCCTGCTAATATGAGGGGCTGTAGTGTAAATAGTATAGACATATAAAGCGGTTACTCGGCCTATGATCAGAGTCACAGTATATCGTGTATCACAGGCCGCACCCACCGCGCGCAGCTATTACAGTGAATACGGTACGGTCACGGAAGGCGTATCCCGTGCTATAATACGGTCCGAGCAGTGAGTGCGCCCTCGGCTGAGTCCGTCACATTGACTGGGGGTTATTGCTCTGAGGGCGCATTGTCTGCCTTCTCCGCGGCACTTAGCTCGCAGACAGCTCGGTAAGTGTACCTATACCGCCCACAGCCCGGGCCTTATCGTGTAATACGGGCCGGCTGCCGTGTCCCCGGGGGGAGCGGGAAGGCCCAGGCGCGCGGCCCGGGCTGTGGGTATAAACAATGCATTGAGCGGAGTGCCGGCCGGCCGCCCGCCGTGGGGTATGGAGTGTAACCCTTTGTTTGCCGGAGAGCTGGCCGGCGAGGAGAGGGTTAGGGGGGAGGGGCTATGTTTGTATTAGCACGCTATTGGCGGCCCCTCCCTTTTCTTCATGTTGGTGGGCGGGGCGAGTAGAACCATAGCGAAGTGGACGTTATAACCCGCTCATTCTCTTCTCTTTCCTTCCGCCAGTGGGCCGCGCGCTCCGTACTTGTTTGTTCCGCCATTTTGGAGGAGCCGCGACGCAGCAAGGAGAAAGGCGATCCCTGTTACCCGCCAGCTGACTGTTCACCCGCTCCCTCCTCTCATTAGCCATCTGTGCTGCCCGGTCCAGGCCGTCCCGGAGAAGCAGCCATGAGTTCCCCAGTGAACGTGAAGAAGCTGAAGGTGTCCGAGCTCAAGGAGGAGCTGAAGAAGCGCAGATTGAGCGACAAGGGGCTGAAGGCCGAGCTCATGGAGCGCCTGCAGACCGCCCTGGATGAGGAGACCGAGACCGGCGGCCCGGTGGCGGTCGGAGGGACCGAAGCCAACGAAGGGGCCGACCCGGAGCAAGGCGGCGGCGAGGAAGAAGAGGAGGAGGAAGAGGAGAGCATGGAGGTCGGCGGGGAGAACGGGGGAGGAGGCGGCGGCGGGGAGGCCACAGAAGCCGCCGAGGAGGAGGAGGAGGCGGTAGCCGCGGAGGATGAGAATGGAGACGATCAGGGCTTCCAGGAGGGAGAGGAGGAGGAGGAGGAAGACGAGGAGGATGAGGGGATCCCTGTGGGGCTGGAGGAGGAGGACGAGGAGGAAGGCGGCGATGAGAACGGCCAGGAGAAGCAGGAGGGGGAGGCCGTACCCAGCGGGCCCAGGCCCCTCATGGCCATCAAGTGCGAGGAGGCCGGCGGCTCCGGGAGAAGCGGTAAGTGCCCCGGGTCTGGGGGGAGGGAGGGAGGCTGTGTGCATGGCGGGGCCTGGCTGCTCACCGTGTACCCCCCGGTAGGCAACCTTCGCTACTCCGGTTATCATGGACTACAACTCCCCTGGTGCTCTGCTAACATTGTGGCTATAGGAGCATTGTGGGAGATGTAGTCCACGACAGCTGGCGTGTCGAATCTAGCCTCCCCTTGCCATAGTCTAATAGCCGCGCTCCGGCTCCATGCTAAGCCGGCTGGAGCGCCCCTGGTGGTGGCAGTCAGCACTGCCTGCTCGGCTTATTGTTTCACTCTGGAGAGCAGCGACATGCTGAGTCTGCCTCCATCTTGTGTCTTCTCACTGCAGCGAGGGCTTTGTAGGCAGCCCGTATCTCCTATAGCACAGCTGGGCTGCTCTAACATGGCTCTGGGAAACCTTACACCAAGCTCTGTCCATGCACTAACTAATTCAATTGGCTCTCCATTTTCATACATTGAGAGGATTGTGCAGATTCAATTGTTGATGTAAATTGAGTGCCGAGTAGATTAGATATAAAGCAGTGATTGCTACGCCCATTACACTTTTAGTAATTGCATTTGAAAGTCATATAATCAGTAACTTGTCATGCATGGGAACCACATTTGCAGCAATCTGGTTTAGTCAGTACCATTTAAATTGCTTAAATGAACGATTAATATACTTTGACTGTGTACTTTCCTCTGTAGCTTTGTATTTATGATACACTTCTCTGGGATTTTTTTTTCCTTGTGGATCTTTAAATTAGTGTTAAATATGGAGGCTATGTCCTGCAAATGGTAGATCTTAAAATGCTTGACATTTTCTCATGTAAGTTTTAACAAATTTGTACGTGTAATCTAATTTTAAACCACCTTGACTGTTTTGGTTCTGTGAAGACTGCTTTAGTAATCATGTCTGTCTGACTTGAGAGAAGAAAATTGAGTTGCATAATCAGAGTTAGATTCCAGGGCTCTAACTGGCTTTGAGATGTTTGTCAGGGTGGATTAATTACTGTAATTGTAGTGTTTTTAAAATTTCATTGCTTTTGGCACTTTACCCATGTATTCCCCCTATCTTTAAGTCTTGCCAATTTAATTTTTTTTTTTTCCACAAGAGGTGAACATGTAGAAAGACTCTGCAATATCAAAAACAATATTCATAGTTAATACGTTTCAGAACTGCTTTAAATATCTTTATTTTCATCCTTTTGAAAACAGCAGATTCTGTGTGACTTTTGTGAAGCTTTTATTAACTTATTTATTTTTTTAAATTAATTTAGAAGGCAAGGACCAGAAAGACAAGAAAAGAGGTGTGAAAAGGCCACGTGAAGATCATGGTCGTGGCTATTTTGAGTACATTGAAGAAAATAAATATAGCAGGTGTGGTTTTTTTTTTTTTTTATTATTTTTTCTCTCTCAATCTTTGCATTGAATCTGATATTTCAAACTTCATGTTCCTTCCTTTTTGTCACAGGGCCAAATCACCCCAACCACCAGTTGATGAAGAGGATGAAAAGTTTGATGATAGCTCGGTGCTTCTTGACACTTGTAAGTAACACTTTTCAAGTTGCACACTTTATCAATTTGAAATACTCTAGTGCACTGGTTTCCAACCTAGTCCTCCAGTACATCCTTGATTTGTTTGGGGGTACATGAGGACTGGGTTGGGACTAGGGCATTTAACATTAATAGAAGGTCTATGTCCCAAAACGTTTGTTTTTGTATGTCCTTCTTTAAAACCTAGCACTGGGGTACAATCTTACTTTCTTGACTTGAGCCTTTTCTATTTTGCATTATCCTATTTGAACCACTGCACATGCTGACTCCTGTCACCACAAGCACTTCATATCACCGAAGTGGTCCTAGTGGTTGGATTAATCCGTTAAGTCTGCAATGGAAATATTGCTGTTTTTATAAAACTGCAGTGTTTTATACTGTAATCCTAAAAGTATAGGGATTTTTTTTCTTCATGGACGTGCATTACTTTATTTCCCCACCCCATCAATCAAACACTTAAACAAAAATAGAAACTAAATATAAAAAAATACTTTGAAAAGTATGTAATTAGCATTTATAACCTTGGTCACCATTGTTGGGTATGCCTGTCAGCTACAAGGTTTTGTTTTTAGCTTTCCTCTTACATGCATCTTGCCCACCAACTAGTCTGCCTATGTGCATGTTCATAACTAAAGGATGTCAAGAGTGTGGAAAGCAATAATGGATGCTCTGCTTACGGAAAATAAGTGTAATGTATGGCACGCCTAAATATTTTAATATAATTTTAAAAGCACAAGATTGTTTCCCATATCTCTGTAGTATGTAGTACCAAATAGGTGCATGGCATCTTGTGAGACAATTTGCATGTAGGAAATGAGAAAAGCAGGACCGTTTCTATGGGATTCTTGCATACAGTAATTGCCTCCCCTAATCCTAGGACAAGCACCTGCTGTGAATGTTTACTCACAGCAAAAGGATGCATGTATTGACTTGCACAGTGCAAACATCTTTAGCTATCCAGACAATCTGTATCTCAAACTGATTTGAACTACTTGGTACTCAGTTCATGGTTGTGGATTGTCTTGCTCTTAATACTCGTAAAGGCATCTTTAACAAACTATGGCATTCTATAGGTGTTATACCATTCTTTTGCTCCCCCCCCCCCCCATGTAAGTAGTCAATTTGCTTATGGTATAACTTCTTACCTGGGGTTCACTCTTTGCCTTTCCCTCAGCAATGGAGAATGAGAAGCACCTGCTAGATCTCATTAGATCCTTACCTTGTAAAGGTTTTTGTGAGCAGAAATGTTAACTTTTTTCTTTTTTTTTTTTTTCTTTCTCTCCCCGTCTTCCACATGTAGATAACTGTGATCTTCACTTTAAAATTTCTCGTGACCGGTTAAGTGCTTCCTCTCTGACAATGGAAAGTTTTGCTTTCCTTTGGGCTGGAGGAAGAGCTACATATGGTGTTTCAAAAGGCAAAGTTTGTTTTGAGATGAAGGTAAGGTTTTAATTTTAAAATTGCATTTTGTTTCAAAGTTGTCTTGTAGGGTTTTCCCCCTTTAATATTTACTCTTTCCATTTCTACTCCTGTCCAGGTTACAGAGAAGATTCCCGTAAAACATTTGTACACTAAAGACATTGATACCCATGAAGTACGTGTTGGATGGTCTTTCAGCTCTTCTGGATTCATGTTGGGTATGTAACGCATTAGCAATTTCATGTATTTGTAGATCTTCATAAGATTCAGTTAAGAAGAAAAATGCTTTTGTATGCAGATTGATTATTCCTGGCTTAAATTGCATACTTTGTTTGCAGTGTATATTCTTGCATGAGTGATTTACCAGCAGTTGCTGCATGAGCTTACATCTACAGTTCGTAGCTCTGGTACAGAGTTAAAATGGATTAATTTCCCATTAGTTGTGTAACTGATAAGGCAGCAATTTGCTGTGCCAAGTATTTTGCAATTGGTCCTGCAAGCAAAAAAGCATAATTTGACAACCATAATTTGGGGTGCAGGTTTTTTTTTTTTAAATTTAATTTTACACTGCATTTCTCTTGTAGGTGAAGAAGAAAAATCCTATGGATACTCAATGAAACCTGCAAAATTCATAAATGGTGTCTCTGAAGAATATGGAGAGAAGTATGATGAGAATGATGTTATCACTTGCTTTGCTGTAAGTTTAATAAAGTTAATTTTGTTTGCTCCCTTCCCTTAATTCAAGGATGGAGGCAATTCTTCACATTCTGAAACAAAACCATAAATTAAATATAAATATTTTTGCTTATAAATTTTAAATATCCAGTGCCATTAACAAAAAAGAACTGAAAATACTTATTGTCAAATGTCTAGTATGTGTGTTTAGGATTTGTTACTGTTATGTGTGAAGCGCCAACATATTCCGCAGAGCTGTACAATTAGGGGAGCACTTCCAATATACACAGGGAGGGCCCTGCATGTAAGCTGAAATCTAGCAACTGAAACTTTTATACAAAGTACTTGGCTAGATGGTTTGTGCGTTTACAATCTACAGGATATAATGGGGGATTCGAAAGTGATGGCTAAAAAGTTGAGTTGTAGCTTTTGGTAAAATATATATATGTGTATGTAATTGAATGAGATTCTCAAACAGCTGGAGGGAGCATGCTATATATTTAGGAGGAACGTGGGTGGATAGTGCTAAGAAAAATGGACAGTTTCTGGAAATGTGGAATGAGGCATGTAGAACAGAGATTAAATAATTATATGAAGGTACTTACAGCCAGGAGGAGCAAAGGAAAGAGGGGGAAGTGGAGACTAAACAAGTTGTAGATTTAATGAAAAGTTTAACCGCCATATTCTATATCCCAAATTATTAACGGTGTATGTGAAATCTTGGTTGAATACATTAAATGACAATAAAAGGCATGCACAGAACTAAGTGGCAAGCTGCAGGTATAAAAGGTATAGTAACACATGTTAACAATGTAAGAATAAAGGAGGTGGAGTATCTTTCAAGATTCAGTCAGTACCTGCTGAAAAATTAATGTTTGATAGTTAAAGCTATACCAAACTTACCCATTGCATACTCTAACTTTGCCCTTAAAAGACCATGCTACTTCCCAAAAGCACTTTTAACCCCAGTTTATAAATGCTGATTTGGATGAAAAATCAGCAGTTTCATACATTAACTAGGCTATCATGCAGCCTCCTTTCATTGGCTCCCCATAAGCTAATGAAAGTGGCACACACTATTTGAGCTTGCCTGTCTCTTCCCACACAGCTCTGGTTATTTTCCCTGTGAAGAAATTCTTTTCTGGGGTGAAAAGGGGAGTGGGCTTGCCAACGATGCGATTCAGAAGATCTGCAGCTTTTGCAAGATCAAAGATGTACTTTAATGCCGATTAGTTGGCACGTAATGACTCATTCCAACATCGTTAAAGATCCCTTTTGTATGGCAAGAAAAATGCCAGTTGTGTTTTCACAAATGGGTAACCCTATTTGGCAAACAATTTACAAACTTGATATAAACTTGTTGACCAACTTATGTTATCGTAACCTGAGGGACCCACTCAGTGTTTAACAAAGGGCAAACTAATACACCCCAATCCCCGTATAAAGAGTTAACTACTTTTGCTTTTAGAAGTGATAAGTCTGTATGTGCAGTATTTCTGCTTGAAATATTGCACCTACAGAAATGTTACTTTTGTACCGGGGGGCTACCTGTACACTATCTGGACTGCCTTATATCAGTTTAGTGCAAAAAAGTCTGTATTTTCCACTCCTGGAAACACTGCATGCACATGTACTTCTAAATGAAAGAAAGCTATAGATCCTGGGGTTCTCCTGTAAATAAAATGTTCTTTCCTCTTTTGCAGAATTTTGAGGGTGATGATGTTGAGCTTTCCTATGCAAAGAATGGACAAGATCTAGGTGTTGCATTCAAGGTTGGCAAAGATGTTCTTACCGATGAGAGTCTCTTCCCACATGTTCTATGCCACAACTGTGCTGTAGAGTTCAACTTTGGTCAACTGGCAGAACCTTTCTACCCCATTCCTGAAGAATATACCTTCATTCAAAATGTCCCACTAGATGATCGTGTGAGGGGCTCAGTTGGACCCGAGCAGAAGAAGGACTGTGAGGTAAGTGTACTTTGTGGTAGTGTAATCCTTTAACTTTTTTAGTATCTGTAATTTAAGATATTCTAACAGGAATGTGCACCATTAAAGCTGACTTTGAAGTAAAACCCCAAGGGCAGAGTACAGAATAATTGATAGTCCTAACCTCAACATCGGAGTATTTAGGGGTGATAATTTCTGATGACTTAAAGGTAGGCAGACAATGTAATAGAGCAGCAGGAAATGCTAGCAGAATGCTTGGTTGTATAGGAAGAGGTATTAGCAATAGAAAGAGGGAAGTGCTCATGCCATTGTATAGAACACTGGTGAGATCTCACTTGGAGTATTGTACGCAGTACTGGAGACCGTATCAACAGAAGGATATTGATACTTTAGAGAGAGTTCAGAGGGCAGCTAAACTGGTTAATGGATTGCAGGATAAAACTTACAAGGAAAGATTAAAGGATCTTATGTATAGCTTGGAGCAAAGACGAGACGGGGAATATGATAGAAACCTTTAAATACATAAAAGTGATCAACACAATAAAGGAGACTATATTTAAAAGAGAAACCACAACAAGAGGACATAGTCTTAAAATAGAGGGGCTAAGGTTTAAAAATACCAGCAAGTATTAATTTACTGATGGGGTAGTGGATGCATGGAATGTCCTTCCAGCTGAAGTGGTAGAGGTGAACACAGTAAAGGAGTTTAAGCATGGTGGGATAGGCATAAGGCTATCCTAACTATAAGATAAGGCCAGGGACTAATAAAAGTATTTAGAAGACTGGATGGGCTGACTGGTTCTTACCTGCCTTCACATTCTGTTTGTTTGTATCTGCAGGTTATTATGATGATTGGTTTACCTGGAGCCGGAAAGACTTCATGGGTTACTAAGCACATTGAAGAGAATCCTGGGAAATACAATGTCCTCGGAACAAACACAATTATGGATAAAATGATGGTGAGTGGTTTATTTTTTATTTTATTTTTTACCCATTTGTTTGGGTTGACTTGTTCTCAAAACTTTTTTTTTTTTCTTAACTTGCAATGCAACTACCCATGTCTGTTTTGATGCAGGTGGGAAATAAGAAGCAGACTGATGCTGGCAAGATGACAACGTTTCTGCAAAGGGCCCCACAATGCCTTAGCAAATTTATTGAGATTGCTGCACGTAAAAAGAGAAACTTCATTCTGGATCAAGTAAGAACTGGAAATAAATCTGACAGCCACTTGACATTGATACAGATTGCTTGTGCTGGTGTGTTTATATATTGTTTACTTTCTTTAGACAAATGTTTCTGTAGCAGCCCAGAGGAGGAAAATGTGCCTCTTTGCAGGATTTCAGCGTAAAGCTGTTGTAGTTTGTCCTTCTGATGAGATCTATAAAGAGAGGACACAGAAAAAGGCAGAAGTGGAGGGAAAGGACCTCCCTGAACATGCTGTCCTCAAGATGAAAGGCAAGTGCTTTGACACATGGTAACTGTTTAGGGATTGAGTATTGGGTTCTTATACTATTAGAGTTCCCTGCACATGGGGACCAATACATCTGATCCCTTTGTACAAGGTGGCCCATGTATGTATGTATATATGTATGTGTATATGTGTGTGTGTATATATGTGTGTGTGTGTATATATATATGTGTGTGTGTGTGTGTGTGTGTGTATATAATACTTTTAGCCTGTCTATTCAGTGTTCATATATGTATTTTGTTTTTGTATATCCTCCGGAGACTCAGGCCATTAACTTGTGTCCTCTATACTTGATATTTCGTTCACATGCATCTCATTTTATTTTTCCGGGCTACTCTTCTGTATCCCTGCTGTATTGCAAAGAGGACATTCTGGGTTTTCCATTGATAGGCTGGGAACTTTTCCTTTTTCATCAAAAATTTATGACATTGAAAGACTTTATTTTTTTTTTTTATTTTTTTTTTATTAGGTTCTCAGGAGCATATGTATCATAGAGCGCGTTTTGTTTTTCCTGTGGTCAATAAAGACCATATTTTATTTCTATGTAATCTCAACTTTTTTTTATCACTTTCTCATGGCCCTCAATGTAAGCACAATTGTGGTTTTGGTTTCTAATTTGTATACTAAGGGTTATCCCCTACTTTAAAGTGGGTTTTTTTTTTTTTGTTTTTTTTAAATACCCATTAGCTTCTTTTTAGTATACTATACTTTTTTTATAGTGCTTTAATGGTGGACATGTATTTAAATATGATGCAATAACATGTTCTAGGGGTGTCTTCCAGTCATGCTTGCAAATGACCTCTAAAATTTCCATTAAACACTCCTACTGCATGCATTCGTGGTTTTTTGATGCTACAGTTATTGCAAAGACGGAGTTCCTATCCCATGATATAGTGGCATTATATATAAATTTTAGTCCTTATGCAATGTATACACTTCACTTACTACCTTCTGCAGTTAATGAACTTTTGTTTTCCCATACTTTCCCTTGTAGGTAACTTCACCCTGCCAGAAGCCAGTGAGTGCTTTGATGAGATTATATATGTAGAGCTACCTAAGGAAGAAGCTGATAAACTTCTAGAGCAATACAAAGAGGAAAGCAAGAAGTCTCTTCCCCCAGAGAAGAAACAAAACACTGGTGTGAAGAAGATTAACAAAAATAAAAACCAGAAGACTCGAGGTGGCCCACCCCATGGGCACGGCCACGGACATAGAGGGCGTGGAAGTGGAGGATACAATATGCGTGGAGGGAATTTCAGAGGTGGAGGTATGTCTTTGAATAGTGTATGGGTAGTCATTTTATGTGGACTTCGAAGCAGTTTTTTGCTTCATACAAAATTTATTCCTGTCTGTGTGAAGGCAAATTAAAAAAAAAATAAAAATCTAAATGTCTTGTAATTGTTGCAGCTATTCCCCCACACATAAAACTGTGCCTAAAACTTTAATACTGCAAAAACCTAAATGTAGTTGGGGTGATGGGGCTGTATATGATACTTCTTTTTTATTTATTTTTTTATATATCAATGGTGCACAAATCAGTCTTTTCTTGTCTCCCTGCCTAGCAGGAAAGAACGGATAAAATAAAACTACAATGGTGCTTTCTAACAAATCTAACCTTTGATTTACTTTACTAGCTCAGGAAGTCAAGAAAACTTTTTTTTTTTTCTTGTATAAATTGGTATTTTGCATCTTCTATTTGTTTAGCTCCAGTAAATCGTGGTGGATACAACAGAAGAGGCAACATGCCACAGAGAGGTGGTGGAGGTGGCGGTGCTATTGGCTACCCATATCCCCGCGCTCCAGTTTATCCTAACAGAGGTGGTTATGGTAGCCGTGGTAACTTCAGCCGCGGTGGTGGAGGTGGGATGCCAAGCCGTGGAAACTATAATCAGGTAACGTGTTTTAAAAAAAAAAAAAAAAAAACTTGACATTATCTCAAGACTTGGTGAGTTCTTTTGCAACTTAACAAGCAAAGGTGAACAAGAATATAATACAAATTAGTTTTCCTTGTTCTCACCCTTTGTATTCCTAACTCTAAAGTGCTTCAAAGTATTGAGATCATCAGGGGCCCTTGGATCACAGTAAAGTTGGAGTCTTTGGTTTAGTTTCTCCCACACTATGCCAATCTAGCTGGTTCTGCTTCTGTAGCCAAGGTCACTAAACCATAGCCAATAAAATGTATTACCATAGGAAAACATTGGGAGACTATTGTGCATGCGTTGAACAACTCCATGCCACTCAGAGATGCATTAAATCATACTAGGCGGCAATGGAACGTTGCATTATTCTTTCTCCTTAAAAGGCATTTATATTTAAAGGACCACAGAGACATGCTTTAGACACCAAAACCACTGCATTAAGCTGTAGTGGTTCTGGTGTCTATAGTATCCCCCTAATGCATAAAGGCTTCTAAAGTTGTCGGGTTTTTGTTCTTTGGAGACTGCTTAATTGTCACTTTTTTTTTTTTTTGACTACTTTTACGGATGCACAATTTGTAGTAGTAAATTCCGGTCTACACTCTTTAAATGGAAAGAACATTTTCAAACGTGTACATAAATTTTGTATGGGTGCTTATTGCTTTAATTATTCCGTAGAACTTCAGAGGAAGAGGAAACAACCGTGGCTACAAAAACCACTCTCAGGGCTACAACCAGTGGCAACAGCAGGGTGTAAGTATTTCAATCTGTAACTGGAAAACACTGCTTATTGGGTTTTTCATTTTATATACTAAAACATCAAACACCTTGACACACTTGCCTCTAGCTTTGGCTTCCCCCCCCCCCCTTCTGAATAATCCACATTTGTCATTTACATTTTGATCAACTTTTAATACTAGATTTCTTGGTATCTAGTCTAAATCGGGCTCCTAGTTACACTTGTGAGATGAGCCTGTATCTTATGTTGCACATAATCTAAACAATTCTTATTGGCGAATAAGCTTAAAAGCTTGTTAACGTGTTAATATTTACCCCTTTTTCTAATTGCAGCAATACTGGGGTCAAAAGCCATGGAGCCAGCAGTACCACCAAGGATATTATTGAATACCCAAATAAAAATGAACTGATACATATTTCTCTTCAAAACCTTCACAAGAAGTCGACTGTTTTTTCTTTAGGCTAACATTTTAAAAACATTCCACAAGAGGAAGTGCCTGCGGGTTCTTTTTGGGTTTCATTTTTTTTCTTCCTTTAGTTAATAAGGGTTTGCATTCATTTTATTTTTATTTTTTCCACTTCATACATTTTTAATTGCAGTTTTAAAGTGATTCTAAAGAACCTCAGCATTGTGCACGATAAGAGAATGTGTCAGTATTTAAGGGTTCTACATTTTTATCTGTAATGTGATATATTTTTTTTTATTATTTTTACTATAACAGAAGTAAAGATGTTGCTTTGTACCTGGTGTCTGTTTATTAAGGAATATGCTCCCGAAGTTGAAGCATTTCTAGATGGGATTTGTGAAATTGTTTAAATCTTGGCATCCAGATTATGTAACTACTTAGTGGCTCTTGGTGACTTTTTTTTTAATTTTTTTTTTTTTTTTTATGGAACTGTAATTATGCACCATCTTTTCTATAGATAGTAGTGGGAAATGTCCTGGGTGCAGAATAAGTGGGAGTAAATTCAAAGCAAAATAGTGAGGGTGAAGTAGCTCTTAAATGTATTGCTTTATCTGTGGAAACCGCAGAGACTTTAACTTGTGAAGGATCAACACCATTTTCTCCATTTGTTATGCATTTTGACTCTGCAAGTATAGGCTTGACTGCCTGTTTCTTATTAAATTAAAACTTGTTGTAAATCTAGTTGTCCTATGGGATCTATATGAAGTTAGCCGTGTCTTTTTGTATCTCCACTTCCCCCTACCCTTTTTAATTTGCCTAGTGTGCTTGTAGTTGCACCATCTCTGTAAACTAATGAAATTGTGAGTTACACTTAGTATCTTGGAATCATGTCAGTTCTTTAATTTGTTTAATGCCAGCTTGCCTCTAAAGAGACAAGCAGATAACATACGTAGTCCTTTATTTGCAATAAATAAAAGTGAATTGCATACTCCTGTTTGGGATTGTCACATAAAAAGCAAATCCCCAACCCCCTACATCTGCCATGACTGCATTTTGATTATACTTGACTACAATAAAGAAATCACAGGTATGTGCTGTTGTCCAAAAAAGCTCTCTCCACTATAAACTAGTGGATTGGGATTCTGTCCACTTTCAGCAGCTTGGCCTTGGTCCGTATGCACATCTCTAAAGGCCTTGACATGGCAGTCCTCCAGATAAGCACCAACTGCTTTATTATGATTCTGGTGACCTGTGCAAAGCAGTTCAGCGGTGTCAGAACCCTGCGATGTGAAGCATGGCATAAAGTAACACGTTACACGGAGGGGATTTCACCCATGTCCCAGCTGAACGATACAAAATGCTTTGGAGCAACTGACGTTCTGTGGCATATTGCCCTTAAGGTAAAGTTTGACAAGCTGAAAACACTGCCTCCTGTCTCTTAACTATGGATGGGGGAGTGTCTTTAAACTGACTTTGTACTTAAAGTACATGCTTCACTACTCTTTAACTAACTTATGGTAAGTTGCATATCACTATTGATTCCTCTTTTAAAGAGGGATGACACCCCTTCTAATAGCCTGAAATAAAGAAATCATTGAGCTTCCATTGGTTCCTTTTATTAACTTTAACATTTGATATATTGTGCATATTAATAAACGAACGATATTCCTCATAATGAATGATTGTGAAAAATCCTTTCGTGCTCTGTACTTAATGGGATAGACAAAAGGAAAACCAGTAGTGTCTGGTTTACAAAAAGTGGTATGATTTTTGTCTTCTATACGGTGTGTGTGCTTAAGAGTCAGGTTTTATTTCTAGGTGAATGGTTGTTTTTATTTTTATTGTATATCTAAAGATGGGGGGGGGGGGGATGTGGCATAAACTGGGAGGTGGGAATAAACAAATTAACTTTAGTTGCAATAGCATAACTGGTTTTCTAAATGCTGGCTTATATTGGTAAACTACAAGTAAAAATGCATTTTGCATTGTTGGCCTAGGCTTTATTTTACTGGGTGTGGGTGTGGGGGGGGGGGGAGAATGGGGTTTCTTAGCATGAACATTTTAAAAAATGGTTCTATTACTTTAATCTCTAAACTGTGCAGTGGAATTATGAATGGCCTTAACCTTATTACCTCTTATCTGAATTTTTTTTTTTTTTTTTTTTAAATCCAGATTGGGTATGCTTTGTCTAGGTTTGTCTTAATTGGCATTAATTACTTTTTGGTGCTCTTCTTGTGAACTTAGTTTTACACTTTTCCTCTGTTAAAGGGGTGGTTTTGCGATGGTTTAGGTGGTTTTTGAGTAGGCACCACTTAAAATCTGTTCTGGGATACTGTTGGGGCAATGTGCATCCAAGCTTTGTTACTTTCTCATTCACTTTAAATATGGTAGAGGATGAACCAGCTGACCACAACTATTCTTCTCTTCCTCCTCCCCCCTTATTATACATGCCAACTACCACATGGAGTGTTTTAAGGTAGCTGGTAAAATTGGGTGGGTAGCTACAATGCCATGGGGCATTATTGGAGTTGGTCCAAAACGATTCAGCATATTTATGACTAGAAGCCAAACCAGCGCATATATATATATTACTGCATGTACATGAATTTTTTTTTTCAAACTTCCTATTGTATGATTTATTTGTTAAATGTAAGTAATGTTTTATTCTTTCTAGATTCTCCTTTGTTATCAAAGACCAGAGTAACTTTGGCAGACATGAACTTAAAAGGTTTGTTCATTCATGGCACTATTGTAGTTCTGTTTTGATAGGGAACAGTCAACTGCCAACTGGTGATCTGTGTGGAACAGAACCCAAAATGGCTTTCAGAGTTGCTCTCCTGTAGTCCCTATCACCAACATGTAAAATGCTAATCTGTCTACATTGCCTGACACTTGCGGGGTTATGAACGAACATGAGAATGGAAAGTGAATTTGAAATTTTTAAGATCAAAATGGACTAACTGGAAACATTCTCTTAAGTCAACAATGTTTTTCTTTCGGTTTCTCTTGCCTTAAATTTAAAAACTCACTTTGAATTCTCATTTTAGAATGTTTAACCTTTATCTAGCAGACAAGCTTTAGCTTGTAAATGTTGCTTTTTGAATAAAGAACCCAACAAACTCTTCGCATTAAGCTTTTGCCTTGCTTGACCCACTTATGTTTGTGTAGATAGAAACAAATTGTGACCACTGTACAAATGTCTGACAGCTTGTGGAACTGTCATTTCTCTGGAAACACAATTCAATAAACTTGTGGAAAGTATATGGTATAACAGCAATTTTAATAAGTAGTGGCGCACAAACAAAGGGAAATGAAACCGTTCGTTTTTTGTTCTCTATGCGGTCATACACACAAGGCAGATCTTAGTTGTAAGAGGTGTGGATCTACATCTAACTTTTAACTATTTTTTTTCCACACCGCAAATACATATTGGTTAACAATATTGGAATACTCAAACCTAATCATTAATGTGACAGTTCAAATTTTTAGCAGGCTTTTTTATGGGGTACTTTGTTTAGAGCAGCAACATGCAAAATGAACATTTACCATTTCCCTATGTAGCAACTGGTATGAGCAAGTTCAAGTGCCATTATAGGGGCTATTATTTAGAATCCCTATCAATCTATTTCTTTATGTGAAAATTTTTCCAAAGTGAGTTGCACTTATGATCCAACATTTTGTATTAAACTTAAGGGTTTGCTGCATTATCCCCTTAACTGTTTTATAATCGAGAAATAATTATGAAAGCTAGTTTGGTAACACAAATACCAGGATCTACTTGAAAACTGACAACCAATTGTACCTTTCCTGTTTACTTTGATTTAATCGGAGTACTGTACAGCTAAAGCTATGTAAGTAGATACTCTGTTTATTAAAATTTGTTTAATAGTATAAACCATTAAAGCGAGTACAGCTGGTTAAATTTTCACCGACTTTTTTGTTTTTCAGTATTCTGGCTCAATGTCTAAAACAATTCATTGGTAAGTAAGCAATTGATGTAGGTAAGTATAACTAAAATTCTTGACGTTGACTAAAGATGAACTTGGACATGTTCCTGTATTAATGACTAGAAAATGCAGCCCCTGCATATTAAGGGTGTTGGTGAATTAATGTAAACCTGGTGTTTGGCTTCTATGTGTCAAATGTTGAGTGAGGTTCAAGGATTCATTACGAAGAGCACACTTATATAAAATTTTACTACTCTCCTGGTTATGTAAACCTTTAGAGGTTTGCATGTTAATAGTCACTGCACTAAGGAACAGTGTATGGTTTAAAAAGCCACAAACTGGGGGTAGAGAGAAATTGTTTTGATAGGCACGCACTACCAATCCCTAACATATCTGCAGTTGTTATGCTTCTATGCTTCTTTTTTTTCTTTTTTTCTTCTTCTTTACACATTTCATTTGGGGGGGGGAGGAGATTTACAATCTAGCTTTGGGTTTTCAAATGAAGTCCTATGTCTAATCTTCTGAGAGATGCCTAGTGTGGAAACAGTTATGTGCTAAATCTTTCAATATTGTGGTAGAGGTGTATATATTTTACTTGTAGGGGCTTGCAGAGCAGGGTACATAGTGTATTGTTGCTGTTACAAACTTGAAGGGACTCTAGTCATCAGAATTACAAAATTACCTTCAGGCTTTTTGCTGTAAACACGGTCTTTTCAGAGAGAATGCAGTGTTTACATTACAGCCTAGTGATAACGTCACTGGCCACTCCTTAGATGGCTGTTAGAGATCCTTCCTGGGTCATGGCTGCCTAAAATGCATCCATTCATTCAGTGTCTCCTCCCTCTGCATGCAGACACTGAACTTTCCTCAGATTCATTGATTCAATTCATCTGAGGAGATGCTGGTTGGCCAGGGCTGCGTTTTAATTGTGCTGGCTCTGCCCCTGATCTGCCTCTTTGTTAGTCTCAGCCAGTCCTATGGAGAAGCATTATGATTGGATTAGGATAACACTTCTGATGTCAGCAGGCAGCTTGTTTTTGTGAGGGAAAACCGCATGCAGATCTTTGAATAGATTTTGCTAGATCTATGGAGGCATGAGGGGCTAGATGGTGGTATTAACACCATGGGCAGGAATACATGTTTGTTTGTTCCTGACCCTATAGTGATCCTCTAATTATTTGTCGCATTCTAAATGCAAAACCTGCCGGTATCTGTTACTGATGTAGTTTCTGCCATCTGTTTAGCCTGTGATAACGTAGTGTGCTTCTATTGGTGACTCTCTGACCTCTTAGAGCAGGGGTAGGCAACCTACAGCACTAGTGCCATGCACGGCACTCGAGGCTGCTAGAGCCAAACGCACTCTGGCCTATCAGGAGTCCCAGTAAAACTTCAGATATCTGCTAATACAAAGAGGTGGTGAAGGACAATCCTCAATTTATGCATTTGTAGCACTAGGAGGAAGTGATCTCAGATAACTTCCTCCCAGCACTTGTGAATGGGAATCCACACTATAGTAGAGCAGCCCTTGACAGATATTGCAGCTCCTGTTCTTGACCTGTATGTACCTGGCCAGCCTGGTCCCCACTGGAACAGAAATATGCAGAATAACCCTCCCCTCATACAAATAATAGGAACAGCCCACACACAAACAATCCCCACAAATGCAACACCACTAACAATCCACATACATGCAACCTCACATGCAATACCCCAAACAGCCCCCACAAACTACCAAACACATGTGACACATCCATCCACACACAATTCCACAAGCAGCCCTCATACACAGCCCACATTCATATGTATCATACACGATACCATAAACTACTCCTGAACATATACAATATAATGGCTCATACGCACAAATACGATACAAAGCAATTACAGTAAAAATAACAAGCAGAATATGGCAGCATACACACCTCAATTTAAAAAAAAATAGGATCGTCACGCTACGGGATATCACAATCCTATAGTGGCACAGTGCTGCTAAAAGGTTGCCTAACGCTGTCTTAGAGGATTAAAGTGCTTAGATGTGTTCCACCAAAACTTATATCTAACACAACAGTCATAACGCAAAGTTTTGTAGAAAGATTTTGTACTGCCTCTTTGTGTCTCCATTTGAATAGAGTGGTACAATACTTGTGCTTTTCTCTAAAACTAAGAAAAAGCCTTTCTATTAGCATGTGTATATTAACCACTCATAATAAACTCAGTACTGTCTTTTTATTAAAGTTCATTTTTAGTACCTGGTCATGAAAGTGTAGCGGTTTTAGTGCACTCTGTCCCTGCAGTCTCTAATTTGTAAACACTCCCCTTTATGAAATGGTAGTGTTTACATTTAACCCAAAGAACACAGCTAGAGGCTGTCACTAGAAGTGTTTTATATTCTGATCCTGCAGTATTTGCAGGGCCTACATTTGGCATCACACTGCATGAAGAGATCCCATAGATGCATTTGGGATAATGCATCTTTGAGGAGATTCTGGTTTGGTAAAGCATTGGCTGAGATCTCTGCATTTACATCAAGTGAAGTAAAAAAAATTTTTGGCATGATAAAGATCATGGTTTGTGACCGAAACGTCTTTTCTGCTACATTTAATGGCTGTCAAACGTTAATTGTTGAGTGCCTGGACCCCTTTCTTTTGTTTAGACATTGATTTAAGATGTATACCTGCCGAGAGCAGCACACCTACTTTTTATACTGATTCAAGGAAATATCCTAATGAAAGTGGAGTAAGTAATCAATGTATGAAGAGTGGATTACTTCTTTTATCTACAAGAAAATGGGACACTGGCACAAATGTGAAAGCATTATATAACTTGACTGTAGGTCTGAGGTCACTGCACTGAGCAGGGAAGACCTTAGATACTGTCCATTTGTAAACCTTGTCGTACCTGAGGTGCATGGGTTATGGTGTTTTTGTTTGGGGGGATTTTCTTTCCCCCCTAAAAGTCCCATATCAAAGAATCAATTTGTGTTGACGGTTGTCCTTTTTAATATCTAGATTCTAAACATAGTACAATCAGTAGCTCACACTACTACTGTAGTAGAGGTCATGCAAATTGAATAAAAGAACAAAGAACCACAATAAAATTTCAAACCTAAAAATGTTTTGGCTAGAAAGCCACTGACCAAACTTTTGTAGGCATAGGCAGTGTAAGTTCACAGAAATTCTCCAATGTCTTAACCTGCAGCCGAATAAATTTTATTTTAATACATTCAGAATGTAAATATAGATGGGCACTAGTGCCAACAACCTAGATGCAAAGCAGAATATTTACAGAAGGAAAGTAGGTGTATCTAATATTGTATTACTGTACTTAACTACCAACCTCTGAGCACAGCTTCCACACAGCAGACTGGTACAAATTGCAACTTAAAGGGACATGCATCACTTTAAAACAAATGTATAATTCAAAAGCTTTAGCTTTGAATGAGACAGTTACCACTTGTGGTGTGCTGCATATTGATGCCATGTTTAAGTAATATGTGTCAGTATAGCCAAGCTGTAATTTAAGATTGGCAGATTAATTTCAAAATGCCTAAACATCTGTAATTCAGTTCCCAATTCACAGTTACAATGTCTTAAGTAATGAGAATAAATGCCATATACCTTGTGCCAAGTTGCCTTGTTCTAGCTGTTTGTACATAGGTGTACACTTTAATTATTCATTTGTATGATACGTTTCTGTCCAATGGCCTGTAGTATACACTCGGGCTCCCCATGATGTATAGTCATTAGTGGCAATTTTTTTATTGGATATGAATCATAGACTTAAAAGAACTTTGCCAATATCCACCTAAATGTGACCGAACAGATTTTTTTTTTTTAATGGAAATACCATCAAATAATAAAATTCAATTAAGAAAAAAAAAACTTAATACTTATATTTTTAAGCTAGTATAATACGAACTACTGATGCATTTTCTGAAGCTGAATAATAAAGCCAAATGGCTGGTTCAAAAAAGACAGCTGCAGGCCTGTGTTTTAATTAGCAGATGGAGAACTGGTAAACTGACTGCATTACCAGCTTAAACTAGAGACCTTCTATAAAACCAGTATGCCCTTGTCCTCTCCAGTTAGTACAGAGGAATGCCCACTGATTAACCATACATAGATGGTTTACTGGATCTTCAGAGAAGAGGCTAAAAGCGGACTGGGCCTCCCAAAATAGTGGCCTGCTGACCATTAAATTATTTATTGGACTGTTAAAGCAGTCTTTCCAAACTGCTGACAATCATTGAAATTGGTAGGAATAGAACTGCCTCTCATCTGTTTTGGGCAGTTGGTTTTTTTTTTTTTTTCCTGTCAGCTACACTATGAACAGAGGAGCTAATACAGTCCGTGGAATATATTAATAGAGTAACAGCCGGATGAGGAAAGACAAAAATGGATGTCTGAGAGTTTTATAAACCTTTAGCAGGTACTGCACGTTCACCTGGTGTTATCCATGCCCTAGCTACCAAATAACACTACATGCATTGCAAAATGCTAGCACATATTAGTAACCGGTTGTACATGTATACTAGAAGTCTGGGAATACAAGTGAGCCATCATTAATATAGCATAATGAAAAGAGAATATTTTACTGTATAAAGTATTTTGACTAGTTGTCTAAATTGAAATTGGTGTTTGCTGGTTGTTACAAATGTGTGTTAAGGACACTTTAAAATTTTTTAGCTTGCATTGTAAATCATGCTTGAAGTATGGGGCATGGCACCAAACTCCCAATAAATGCAGTGTAATAGTGTGCTTTTAGCTGTAAGCACTGCTCTTCTATATAAGACTAACTGACCAGTCCAATTTATAAATCTTTTTGCTGAGTACCATGGAACTGAGTGAGCAAATGTCTAGAAGTGGATTCCATGCAGACTTAATTTTCTGCTATTACAGTATCTGTATTCTTGTTTTATACTTGGAAACCTAATAAAAACTGCATAAATCTTTCCTGACTTCTGTTTTTTTTTTTTTTTTTTTTTAAGAGGAAAATTATATATGCATATATTTTCTTTCACTAAGCAAAATGACAATGTAAACTAGCCGTGCTGTAACTGGAGATTGGTTGAATATTTTTCCAAATCTATGTAAGCCTACATTTTGCATTTAAAGGACCACTATAGGCACCCAGACCACTTCAGCTCAATGAAGTGGTCTCTGTGCCAGGTCCCTCTAGTTTTAACCCTGATGCTGAAAACATGGCAGTTTCCGAGAAACTGCTATGTTTCACTGAGTGTTAATCCAGCCTCTCAGGCTGTCTCACTAACAGCCACTAGAGGCCACTTCTTTACTGAAAATCAGTGAGACGCTGACGTCCATAGAGTAATGCTTTCCTATGGGCGTTTTTTCATACTTCATGAAAATCCTTAAGCCAAACTTTTTTTATTTTTTTGTAATGAGTGTGCATGCACACAGGGCAACATGGACAGAAACACGTGATTTAACTCCTAAATGGCAGAGAATTGAGCTGTTAGATTGCAGAGACCTGATCTATACACTAAAACTGCTTCATTAAACTAAAGTTTTGGTGACTGCAGTATCCCCTTTAACCCATTATGGTGTGCTATGCTGTCCTGGCATTAATGGGCTTAAACGCCATATAGGCAGAATATCACGCAGATCACGATGGCAAATCAGTGGTGTTCAGCTTGTGATCGCAGTGACAGTCACTGTTACAATGTGTCTGCCAATGATTTTAAATCACTGGCTGACACATTGTCTCTGCCCCTCCCTTTGAGCTGAGAGGGGCAGAGAGATTGTTGCAAATTGTACCTTTTGTGCAAAAGATTCTTAATTTTTTTTTTTTTTTAACAGTGATCAGCCTGATTAGTGTTAATAGTACATTTGATTTTTCTTTTTTGTTTTTCTCCAGCTGCAGCAACCTAAATCTTAACACGTTCCCTGCTACTGTGATCGCTCTACTGTACCAGTGGTCAGAGGGCTCTGATCAGGCTGTCTCCCCCCCCTCCCCCCTTTGGGACTGCGATAAGTCATTTTTATTTAAATGTTTGGGTTTTTGTGGGTGAGAGAGTGTGAATAAATTAATTGCCCCCTTAGCGTTTAAAGTTTTTAGCATTAAATTAGTCCCCCTTAGAACGGCACGTCTCTATTATGCAGAGGGGTATGCCATTCTAGCAGGCAGTGATGGTGTCACTGTCTCGCAGAGTGTCACTATCACTGCCTCTGACATTGAGCCTGTGAACAAGTTCCCAAGTGATTGTGCACCACCACCTACACTAACATTATAAGCCCAAGGACAGACACTGGGTACCCCAAACCTGACTGCCCTAGAAATACCATTCACGGCAACCACTGGCATTACTGTTATGGTGGATGCTTGTGAGCCCAAAAAATTTCAGCTATTTGTCAGGCATACTTCAGCTAATCGTTAACCAAACCAATTTATTTGCCAATCAATATCTTATTGCAAATTCAAGGTCACGGATCTAGTAGAAATGCGCAAATTTAAAAAAAAAAAAATCGCTATAGGGTCAGGGAAAACAAACCCGTTTTCCTGACACTATATAGTGCCCCCACCCTCAGGGTCCCCCTCCCTTGGCCCTGACCGGATTAAACGCCTTTCAGCTACTTGCCTTAATCCACTGCCAGGCTCCCTTGGCACTGGTGACCTCTCCTCCCCTGCCACCGTCCGCTCCCATGTGGAGCGGAATGCGCAACAAGGGTCGCGCATGCATTCAAACAGTCCATCGGAAAGCCTTTTTCAATGCTTTCCTATGGACGTTCTGCACGCTGGATGTGAATTTCGCATCCTGCATCACAGATACGCCTCTAGCGGCTGTCAGGAAGACAGTCACCAGAGGTTGGCTTACCCCTGCTATGTAAACATAGCAATTTCTCTTAAGGATTAAAACCTGAGGGACCTGGCACTCAGAACACTTCATTGAGCTGAAGTGGTCTGGGTGACTATAGTGTCCATTTAAGTCATGGTTATCGTAAAAAAAAAATATATATTTTTTTGTAAATATTTCCATTCCCGAATCCCCCTCCCCCACACTGTAAAAGGTCACCTCACAGAATTCCATGTTTGCTGGAAGAGAGTCTGAAAGGACTCCAGTTATTACTGCGCCTCCTGTCCATCCCTACCCGCCCTCTGCATAACAAACGGTTTTAAAGTCTACCATACAGAGCTGAACTACTCACGCTGTATGGGACTTTGGTATTTTGCTTGATTTCTCGGGATTTTTGACCTGCTTCTCCTGACTAAGCTTGGTAGCTGCCTGTACTGGCTTCCCCTGACCTTATGTCCCTGTTTACCTTAGCCATTGTAAAGTGGCTACACCTAACAATTCTAAATACATTTGTAGTACTTGTTAAAATGTGACTTTACAAAGAAACTAATCACCGGGTAATACTCTGATTAGCACTGAAAGAGTTAATTTAAATATATCACACAGTACCTCTGTGTAATATCAAAGATATCTGTCTTTCTCACCTTCAGATCAAAGTGTATATGGAGCACTTTATTCATGTGATAAAAATCTGGAAAAAAATGGTGTATGGGGGCACTGTCAGAGATAATTAAATCAAAATACTGAGGTTTTATTGCATTAATATCAGGAATATAACATTTTCTGTGAAAAGGGAATTCATGAGTATAAAAACCTGACAAAAGCATAATTGCTACATGGGCACTACATTAAAGTGGGTAGACCAAGCATCTCAAAATATGCCATTTGGAATACCCTGGGTTGACTGCTTTTAATAATGCTATGCCATCATCGGTTTAATTTTTTTTTTTTTTTCTCCTGGGCTGCTATAGTCAGTGACATATGGTGAGAAAATCACTTTATCAAGCTGAAAAGGACATCTAATATATTTGGCCCTGTGAGTTACCAAAACAAATGAAAATATTGGGGGTACTGTTTATATTTGTGAAACAATGTGTAAACAAAATACTGAGGCTCTATTCCACCCCTATTGGGAATATGAAAAGTCCTGTGAAAATTGAGTTTGTGTGTGAAAAAGCAAAAAAACAAACTGCTTTTACAGACCCGGCATTTCTGATAAAGTGGTTAGACCAAACACCTCAAAACACCCAATTTCAAATAGTCTGGGTTGCCATACTTTCTCAAAAACAGGCCCAGAAAATCACTTTGACAAATTTCCAACATTGAAATGGACATTAATACATTTTATCCCTGTGACTCCCTTCCCCCAAGAAACAGAAAAACCGGTACATGCTGGTACTGGCCCTCAGGTTTCAAAAGATACTTATAGAACTACGTCATTAAGGGCACACTCAGAATTGCAGTAGCTGAATGTGAATGCTCAGCTGTGGTATTGAAAATTATTTTTTAAGTGCTATTTGCAGTGCTCACTTTGAGAGCTGCATATATGTAACCTGTCAGTCTGGTCCACAAATTGTCTGACAAAGGAAATCCTCAGATGTCAAATTACACCTGGGACTTCTTGGTACCAGAAACAATTTAACCCTGGTGCTGCTTTTGATGCATGATCTATTTTGTCAGTGGCTGTTAAACCCCAGCATTGTATGGCTTAGATATTAAGGCAGCCTTTAAGGAAGTGTGTGTAAAATATAAAATTCAACGCAATCGTATACTAAACTCATTTAGTAAACTGCAATTTCAAAGCTCACAAAATGTCTTTTATTTTTTAATGCCTAACCGAGGCAAAAATAATAGGGCATTAGTTATAATACATTGCATAAGCTTGCCACAAAACAAATGTACCCCATTGTTGGCAGGTCCTATCCTAACAACTGTATACCTGTTCTTATGAGATTAACCCAATTAATTGGGAAATCTTGGGGCTCTTTGCAGTGCAAGGTCAAATAGGGCACTGACATTAGGCACATGTGATAGGGTATAATGTGGAAAAAACAGAAATTCTAGGTACTTCTTTGGAAAAATGTAAGTAAAACCTAGCTTTTATTTAGCTTAAAACCAAAAATGGCAACATTTCAAAAAACTTTTGTGAGGAAAAAGTGTGTGTGTGTGTGTGTGTGTGTATATATATACACACTTTGATTTCTTTTAATAATAATAAAAAAAAAAGTACTCATCCCCTTCATGAATTTAGTGAACGCTGTGATTCAATGTGCCCAACTTGAGGATGCAGGCCTGTTCACACAGCTGAGTGCATACACACGAAATGAACATACATATGTGAAAGAATTAAAAACAATTGGCATTGTATTAGCCAAACAAGTACTGAAAAACAGAATGACAAAGTACTTAAGTCCACAACCAATTTTTTTGCTGTTTGTGTTCAACCGCAATTTGCATCTCTCATTTGTTGTATCGACACATAATGTTAGAGGTCAAAAAGGGCTTTAATTCGATCTCACATTTTTGTAAATATTTTATATCTTTTCGTGTGACAACACTGAAGAAATTACACTCTGCTGCAATGTAAAGTAGTAAATGTACAACCATTAATGTCTAAACCGTTGGCAACAAAAGTGAGTACATCCCTGAGTGGAGTTGTCCAAAGTGTCAATATTTTGTGTGGCCACTATTATTTTCCAGCACTGCCTTAACCCTCGTGGGCATGGAGTTCACCGGAGCTTCACAGGTTGTCACTAGAGTCCTCTACCATGACGACATCACGGAACTGGTGGATGTTAGAGACCTTGCGCTCCTCCACTTTCCATGTGAGAATGCCCCACAGATGCTCAATAGGGTTTAGGTCTAGAGACATGCTTGGCCAGTCCATCACCTTTACCTTCAGCTTCTTCAGCAAGGCAGTGGTCTTCTTGGAGGTGTGTTTAGGGTCGTTATCATGTTGGAATACTGCCCTGTGGCCCAGTCTCCTAAGGGAGGGGATCATGCTCTGCTTCAGTATGTCACAGTACATGTTTGCATTCATGGTTTCCTCAATGAATTTTCGCTCCCCAGTGCTATGCAGGCCCAGACCATGACACTCCCACCACCATGCTTGACTGTAGGCAAGTACTCCTCACCTGGTTACCGCCACACACTCTTGACACCATCTGAACCAAATAAGTTTATCTTGGTCATATTGGACCACGGGACATGGTTCCAGTAATCCATGTCCCTTTGTCTTCAGCAAACTGTTTGCGTGCTTTCTTGTGCATCATCTTTAGAAGAGGCTTCCTTCTGGGACGACAGCCATGTAGACCAATTTGATGCAGTTTGCGGCGTATGGGCTGAGCGCTGACAGGCTGACCCTCCCACCCCTTCAACCTCTGCAGCAATGTTGGCAGCACTCATATTTCTGTGAAAGCACTGTATGGTCTTGCCCACCGTGCTGCAGCTCAGTCTCAGGGTATTGGAAATTTTCTTATAGCCTAGGCCATCTTTATGTAGAGCAACAATTCTTTTTGTCAGATCCTCAGAGTTCTTGCCATGTTGAACTTCCACTGACCAGTATGAGAGAGGGTGAGCGATAACACCAAATTTAACACACCTGCTCCCCATTCACACCTGAGATCTTGGAACACTAACAAGTCATATGACACTGGGGAGGGAAATGACTAATCGGGCCCAGTTTGGACATTTCCACTTAGGGGTGTACTCAATTTTGTTGCCAACAGTTTAGACATTAATGGCTGTGTGTTAAGTTATTTTGAGAGGACAGCAAATTTACACTTACTATTTTATATTGTAGCAGAGTGTTATTCCTTGGTGTTGTCACATGAAAAGATACGGTATATAAACTCTCATTAATTAGCATTTTTTTTTCTGCCTTTTTGGCCCACACAGTGAGCTTCTACTGTATATTTCGCAAACCATATATGTGCTATGGCAGTATAACACTTTATAGGTTACTTAGCTATGTCGTCTGAGCACAGGAATAACCCCGTATGTACCTTTGCCAGGTATATGTGTATGTTGAAGGGGAACATTTGAGACACAGCAATTCAGTTTTTTTCAAACTTTGAATTTTTACGGTGTCCATGTTCCATTTTCGAGTAGTTTAGCTGGTTGGTTATTTAAACTACCCCACAAATGCATACCATTTCACTAACTTTTTTTTTTAGAGGGAGAAGCAGATTAGTGCTGATCTGTCTCCCTGCACTTCACACTGAATGAGGAAGAGCAGGGAGGCGAATCAGCAGTCCCTGCAGCACGTGTGCAGGAACAGCGCCATCGGGTGCTCCCTTTCGGCCTCGGATACCGACTGGAGGAGCATTAACCTCGCGATCGTCGCGTTCTGGGATTAACTGTAGTAAATGACGGAAATTTTACGTCATGCGCCCTTAACGGTAGGACAAGTATGACGGAAATTTTCCATCTTGCGTCGGTAAGGGGTTAAACCTTAAAAGAACACTACTATAGTGGCAGAAGTACATTGGATTTAAAAAATATATATATATAATTTAGACCCCTGGGTATTCTTCTCCCCCCCCAGCACTGTACAGGTCTGGTCATGGCTGGCTCCACCTCTTTGATATCATCAAATTTGATAATGTAATAAGATCCTAGACTAGATCTAGCCTGGGAGACAGCTTACAGGTGTAGGGAACACAGTGTATACAAAACAGTCCTTTGGTAGCCACTCATTACATTATTTACCCTGCAACTATCTCTAGGTAGGTGGTACGTGTCAAAGTAACATCCACATGAATGCCAGGACCCAAGATTTTCCAAAAGAGCATTGCATACAGCTGCCAAATGCCTCTGCTTTTATCCTGCTGCCATCTCTTCCCCAGGTAAAAAAACCCAGTCATCCACCTGATCTTAAAGAAAACATGAGTCATCAGAACAGACAACTTTTTTCCCCTCAGTGCTTCCATAGTCCAGTTCTAATGCTTATGTCACCACTGAAGATGCTTTCAGCAGTGGACTGGGGGTCATCATGGGCATCTGAGTGGTCTGCAGCTACACTGCTGTATATGCAGCAAATGTGTTCTGAAACCTTTCTATCTGTTCTGATTTTTTTCCAGCAATTTGTACTACATTAGCTCTCCTGTGTCATCGAACCAGACACGCTAGCCTTCACTCCCCACATGCATCAATGCACCCTACGCACCCATGAACCTGATGCTAGTTCACCTTCCTTGCACCACTTTTGGTAGGTACTAACCAATGCATACTGGGAACATTACACAAGGCTTGCCGTTTTTTTAGATGCTCTGACCTAGTCATCTAAGCCATCACTATTTGGCCTTTCTCAAAGTCACTCATATCTTTTTGCTTGCCCATTTTTCCTGCTTCCAACACAATATTCAAGAACTGATTGTTCACTTACTGCCTAATATATCCCACCCCTTGATAGGTGCCTTGTCGCGAGTAGCTAATTGCTAAACTGTGGACTCACCAATTCATCCCTTGGAGGTCCAGGATAGTCCCTGAGTGGAGTAGGCTGTGGAAGAGCTTTAATAATTGACCAGAGTATCTGCACCAGAACAGCTCTCATAGTCCGGCAAAGTCATTGGTAATTAATAGCCTGCCAAACATCAAATGAGACTTGATGAAGGGTGAAAAACAAGGACACTTTATTAGGATTCTACACACATTTATGCCCAGACCCCGATCATGGGGCCATTAACTGCATAATGGTGATCCAACCCAGGTGCCTTTGTGTCTGGGAGATCAGATTAAACGCTTCTAACTTAAATAATCTCCTGATACATAGGTGCCTAACATGAACAACCCTTAAAATAACGTAAAAAACAATATTAACTCCCCACACGTTTGATTTCCCTGGATAGCAAGTCCCCAAACATCCAATCTGGCAAAATAGCACCCTGATCCCATGTTAGTAGTGGAAACACCACCTGCTAGATTTGACCTGAAGTAATGGTGTTCTCCCAGAGCACTTATCTGGCTGTTTGGTATGATCGGGTGATTCTCTTTTAAGGCACTTAGGCTGGAATGGTCTGCAGAATGGGGAAAATAAGCAATGTAATTATTATATTTTATTTTATATAGCACCAACAGATTCCATAGCGCTTTACAATATTATTATAGATGGGGATTTAACTATAAATAGGACAATTACAAAAAAAACCTTACAGGAACAATAGCTTGAAGAGGACCCTGCGAGCTTACGGTCTATAAGAGGAGGGGTATAGAACAAAAAAGGACACTAGATCACCAGAACAACTACAGCTTATTGTATTTGTTCTGGTGAGAAGAATCATTCCCTTCTGGCGTTTTGCAGTAAACACAGTTTTTTCAGAGATTATATAGTATTTACATTATAGCCTAGGGATACATGCACCCTGGCCACTCCTCCGATGACTACTAAAATGCTTCCTGGGGCAGTGGGGCATTCAGTGTCTCCAAACTGTGCATGCAGACACTGAACTTTCCTCATAAAGATGCATTGATTCAATTAATCTCTATGAGGAGATGCTGATTGGCCAGGGCTGTGTTTGTCTTGTGCTGGCTCTGCCCCCTTGACAGTCTAAGCCAATCCTATGGAAAGGCATTGGGATTTGCTCACATATTCACGTCTGATGATGTCAGCAGACAGGTCAGAGGCAGCAGCAGACTTGAATACAAGTAAGATTTTACTATATTTAGGGAGGCAATGTGGGGGCAGTTGGTGGTTTTACCACTATAGGGTCAGGAATACACATTTGTGTTCCTGACCCTAAAATGTTCCTTAACCCCTTTGTGACGAATAACGGACCTGGTCCGTCATGGCAGGGAAACTGTTAACGCAGAATGACGGACCAGGTCCATCATGCTAACCCCAGATCGCCGCGATCTCTGTATTAGAGGCAGACCGGGAGCACCCGATCACGCTGCCCCTACAGCAGTGATTGCTCTGACAGGCTGTCAGAGCAAGGACATGTGCTGCAGGGACTCACGATTCGCCTCCCTGCTCTTCCACGGTCTTTGTGAAGTGCATGGAGACGGATCAGCAGTGATCTTCTCCTTGTTAAAAAAAATAATAAAGTTATAGTAAAATCCCACCCCCCTTCCCCTGCTTTAATAAAATTAACTGCTTCCCTGCCAATTGATCACTGGCTACAGTGATCAACTGGCAGGGTATACATTTTACTGTGATCTGATTTTTTTTTTTTTAACCCCTTTAACCCTCAGGGGTTAAATTTATGTTATTAATTTAAATATATTAAAATGATATATTTAGCTAGCTGGGGTGGGTGGAAGTTAGTGGGAAATTGGGGAATTTGGTGTTAGGCTAGCTAGGGGTTAATGTTAAAGTTAAAAAAAGTTATAAAAAAGTCTTAAAAGTTAAAAAAAAAGTGTTAACGTTTTTAAAATAAAGTTTAAAAATTCCCACCCCAACTATATACAGTGATCAAAATACAGATCACAGTATTTTAGTGTGATCCGATTTTTTTATTTTTTTTAACCCACAGGGTTCAATATATTTAATTAATTCATTTAAATATTTTAAAATGATATATTTTGCTAACTGGGGTGGAGTTTTAAAAAGTTTAAAAAAGTAAAACAATACATTTAAAAATGCTCATTACCACTACACCTGGAACAAACTGGAGAAAAAAATGATCCCACGCTAAGGTTCAAAATATACCTTTTGACTTAACCCAGGGTGTATTCTTTAATAAATAGTATGTGTTTGTGGAGAAGTTTCAATAACCAACCAGCTAAACTACTCCAAAATGGAACATGGACACAGCGTAAAACTTCAAAGAAAAAAACTGAATGACTGCGTCTCAAATGTGCCCCTTCAACATCCACATATACCTGGCAAAGGTACATACGTGGGTATTGCTGTACTCAGATGACATAGCTGAGCAACATATGTATTATACAGTCATAGCACACATAGGGTTTGCAAAATATACTGTGCAAACTCACTTTGTGTGTCAAAAAGAAACGCTTATTACCACTACACTTGGTACAAGCGGAAAAATGATCCCACGCCAAGGTTCAAAATATGCCTTTTGAAATACCTTTGAATGTCTTCTTAAAGAAATGGTATGCCTTTATGGGGTATTTGCATTATATAGTCTGCTAAAATATTTTAAAATGGGACATGGCACAGCGTAAAAATTTAAAGTTTGAAAAAAAAACTGGAATGACTGTGTCTCAAAAGTGCCCCTCCGATGTCCACAAATACCTGGCAAAGGTACATACGGGGGTATTGCTGTACTCAGCCGACACAGCTGAGCAACATATGAAGTATTATACAGTTGTAGCACACTTACGATTTGCAAAATATACTGTGCAAACTCACTTTGTGTGTCAAAAAGACATAAAAAACGCTTATTACCACTACACTTGGTACAAACTAGCGGAAAAATTTTACATATACAGGGAGTGCAGAATTATTAGGCAAGTTGTATTTTTGAGGATTAATTTTATTATTGAACAACAACCATGTTCTCAATGAACCCAAAAAACTCATTAATATCAAAGCTGAATATTTTTGGAAGTAGTTTTTAGTTTGTTTTTAGTTATAGCTATGTTAGGGGGATATCTGTGTGTGCAGGTGACTATTACTGTGCATAATTATTAGGCAACTTAACAAAAAACAAATATATACCCATTTCAATTATTTATTATTACCAGTGAAACCAATATAACATCTCAACATTCACAAATATACATTTCTGACATTCAAAAACAAAACAAAAACAAATCAGTGACCAATATAGCCACCTTTCTTTGCAAGGACACTCAAAAAGCCTGCCATCCATGGATTCTGTCAGTGTTTTGATCTGTTCACCATCAACATTGCGTGCAGCAGCAACCACAGCCTCCCAGACACTGTTCAGAGAGGTGTACTGTTTTCCCTCCTTGTAAATCTCACATTTGATGATGGACCACAGGTTCTCAATGGGGTTCAGATCAGGTGAACAAGGAGGCCATGTCATTAGATTTCCTTCTTTTATACCCTTTCTTGCCAGCCACGCTGTGGAGTACTTGGACGCGTGTGATGGAGCATGCATGAAAATCATTTTTCTTGAAGGATGCAGACTTCTTCCTGTACCACTGCTTGAAGAAGGTGTCTTCCAGGAACTGGCAGTAGGACTGGGAGTTGAGCTTGACTCCATCCTCAACCCGAAAAGGCCCCACAAGCTCATCTTTGATGATACCAGCCCAAACCAGTACTCCACCTCCACCTTGCTGGCGTCTGAGTCGGACTGGAGCTCTCTGCCCTTTACCAATCCAGCCACGGGCCCATCCATCTGGCCCATCAAGACTCACTCTCATTTCATCAGTCCATAAAACCTTAGAAAAATCAGTCTTGAGATATTTCTTGGCCCAGTCTTGACGTTTCAGCTTGTGTGTCTTGTTCAGTGGTGGTCGTCTTTCAGCCTTTCTTACCTTGGCCATGTCTCTGAGTATTGCACACCTTGTGCTTTTGGGCACTCCAGTGATGTTGCAGCTCTGAAATATGGCCAAACTGGTGGCAAGTGGCATCGTGGCAGCTGCACGCTTGACTTTTCTCAGTTCATGGGCAGTTATTTTGCGCCTTGGTTTTTCCACACGCTTCTTGCGACCCTGTTGACTATTTTGAATGAAACGCTTGATTGTTCGATGATCACGCTTCAGAAGCTTTGCAATTTTAAGAGTGCTGCATCCCTCTGCAAGATATCTCACTATTTTTGACTTTTCTGAGCCTGTCAAGTCCTTCTTTTGACCCATTTTGCCAAAGGAAAGGAAGTTGCCTAATAATTATGCACACCTGATATAGGGTGTTGATGTCATTAGACCACACCCCTTCTCATTACAGAGATGCACATCACCTAATATGCTTAATTGGTAGTAGGCTTTCGAGCCTATACAGCTTGGAGTAAGACAACATGCATAAAGAGGATGATGTGGTCAAAATACTCATTTGCCTAATAATTCTGCACTCCCTGTATGTAAAAATGCCATTTCCCCACCACAAACATTGACATGAATTGGTGAAAAAATGGTGACAAGTTAAGGCACAATATACACCATATAAGATACTCTGGGGTTTCTGCTTTAACCTTTGTGGGGTTATTTGAACAGTCACACTGCTATAATCACCTAAAAAGACACGTCAAATCCATCTACGAAAATTCTAACTATAGAAACGGAAATAGCCTTGTCTCTTATATGGCATTGCAGCTTTACAGAAAAGTGCCAAAGGCATACAATGCGGGTTATGTGATACACAGCAGATGTAGCTGAACAAAATATGGGGTTCTGTGCTGGAGTAGCACACACCAGCTTTACGAAATACACATTACAAAAAACCTTGTTATATGTGTATATGCCAAAATAAAGAAAAAACACAATTTTACTCCAATATTTAGCAGAGATTCGCGACTAACCTTAGTTAACTAGCCTGTGAAGTCTACTTTATATAAATATATACTTTTGTGTGGCAATTGGTTTTTCTGTGTTGGCTACTAAACCTACAAGACAAACATACCAACTTCTAAAATTGTTGCAAATTGAAATTTTATTTTAGTCCTTGTATTTTGTGACCAGTAACTTTCAAAATAAGCTGAAATCCTATACATATGATGTACTCTATAAATCAAGACACAAATGAATTTATTTTGAATTACTTTTTCTAAGCTGGACATATTATGCACATGCTATTTTTGCCAAAACTGTGAATTTTTTTTATTCTCCCCCCCCCCCCATTTTTTTTGGCATTCGTTTATAATTAATGAGAATGTATCTATGTGTATGTGACATCAAATTAAAGCCCTGTTTGCCCTCTAAAAAACGATGTATAATATGTGTTGGTGCAATAAATGACAGAGATGCAAATTGTGTTTCAACACAAACAGCAAAAAAATGCAAAAATGGCTTTTGTCCTTAAGCGTAAGACAAGGTTCTGAAGCTGTGTCCTTAAGGGGTTAAAGCTCTTTTGGTACAGTAAATGGTGTTTCTTCAAATAGGCGATATTCATACTATGTTGGAGGAGAGTGAGGGGTTCTAATCAAGTAGAGCAAAACGAAATGTTGATACAGTTCAATGCCCAAGCGAGGACAGCCAGTGACAGGGAGGTTAAGTACAACACCCCCACTGTATGCTTTTGCCACCATTCTGTTTGTCCAAAATATAGCACAAAGAGCTTTGACTTATAAAGGGAGGCCCATACAGTCAGTTCCATAAATATTGGGACATCGACACAATTCTAATCTTTTTGGCTCTATACAACAATACAATGGGTTTGAAATGAAACAAACAAGACGTGCTTTAACTGCAGACTTTCAGCTTTAATTTGAGGGTACATCCATTTAGATTTACATCCAAATCAGGTGAACGGTGTAGGAATTACAACAGTTTGTATATGTGCCTCCCACTTTTTAAGGGACCAAAAGTAATGGGACAGATTAACAGTCATAAATCAAACTTTCACTTTTTAATACATGGTTGCAAATCCTTTGCAGTCAATTGCAGCCTGAAGTCTGGAATGCATAGACATCACCAGACGCTGGGTTTCATCCCTGGTGATGCTCTGCCAGGCATCTACTGCAAATGTCTTCAGTTCCTGCTTGTTCTTGGGGCATTTTCCCATCAGTTTTGTCTTCATCAAGTGAAATGCATGCTCAATCGGATTCAGGTCAGGTAATTGACTTGGCCATTGCATAACATTCCACTTCTTTCCCTTAAAAAAACTTTGCTTTTGCAGTATGCTTCGGGTCATTGTCCATCTGCACTGTGAAGCGCCGTCCAATGAGTTCTGAAGCATTTGGCTGAATATGAGCAGATAATATTGCCCAAAACACTTCAGAATTCATCCTGCTGCTTTTGTCAGCAGTCACATCATCAATAAATACAAGAGAACCAGTTCCATTGGCAGCCATACATGCCCATGCCATGACACTACCACTACCATGCTTCACTGATGAGGTGGTATGCTTTGGATCATGAGCAGTTCCTTTTCTTCTCCATACTCTACTCTTCCCATCACTCTGGTACAAGTTGATCTTGGTCTCTTCTGTCCATAGGATGTTGTTCCAGAACTGTGAATGCTTTTTTTAGATGTTGTTTGGCAAACTCTAATCTGGCCTTCCTGTTTTTGAGGCTCAGCAATGGTTTACATCTTGTGGTGAACCCTCTGTATTCACTCTGGTGAAGTCTTCTCTTGATTGTTGACTTTGACACACATACACCTACCTCCTGGAGAGTGTTCTTGATCTGGCCAACTGTTGTGAAGGGTGTTTTCTTCACCAGGGAAAGAATTCTTCGGTCATCCACCACAGTTGTTTTCCGTGGTCTTCTGGTGTTTTTGAGCTCACCGGTGCGTTCTTTCTTTTTAAGGATGTTCCAAACAGTTGATTTGGCCACACCTAATGTTTTTGATATCTCTCTGTTGGGTTTGTTTGATAGCTTGCTTCACTGATAGTGACACTTCTTTGGATCTCATATTGAGAGTTGACAGCAACAGATTCCAAATGCAAATAGCCCACTTGAAATGAACTCTGGATCTTTTATCTGCTCCTTGTAAATGGGATAACGAGGGAATAACACACACCTGGTCATGGAACAGCTGAGCAGCCAATTGTCCCATTACTTTTTGTCCCTTGAAAAGTGGGAGGCACATATACAAACTGTTGTAATTCCTACACCGTTCAGCTGATTTGGATGTAAATACCCTCAAATTAAAGCTTAAAGTTTGCAGTTAAAGCACATCTTGTTAATTTCATTTCAAATCCATTGTGGTGGTGTATAGAGCCAAAAAGATTAGAATTGTGTCGATGTCCCAATATTTATGGACCTGACTATATATCTAAGACTGAAGAGAATACTGAGTGGTAGAAAAGCATGTTTGTATTTCTAATGTTGTTTCACTTTAAAATTTGTTTGTAGTCGGGGAAAATAAACCGTGTTATAGTAGTGGTGGTATAAGACAGTTGTGGTGTGCCGAATCAGACTTTCGGGTAGTCCTTTAAAAGAGGGCTCACTAAGTGAATGCTTAATAAAGGGAGCAGTGGATGGGCTGGACCAGGAGGTCTCGGCTCAGTGGAAGGGGTGGCCTGTGAATTTAGAGGTATTACTGTGATTGAAATAAGCCCTAATTGTGTTAGTAGTGAAATTTGCCATAAACGGAATTAGGAACGAATACGGACTGAAATCCAAATGCCACCCTAGTTAGTGAAAAGCCAAATGTAGGCTGGAATGTCAGTAATAGCATGGCCCAAAACTAACAAACTTACGGTTTTGTTGAAAAAACCCGCAAACAGCAATAGAAAAAGTTGCGGCTGGGCCCCATGAGCTTCAAGGGACGCTGCTGTTTTTTACTTGAGTGAGCGAAAATAAATACAGCTTGTCTTGGAGTTTAAGTAGTTGCTGTTGATTACCTTTGAACCGGAAGTAGATGGTTTTCTGCTGAACCAGGAGTTCTCGGCTCGGAGGAAGGGGTGGCCTGTAAATGTATAGGCCAGGTAACCCCTCCTCCCACAACTACAGGCTCAGCCTTTCCATATATCAAAAATGGAGCGTCACATTTATTTAAAGTGGAACTGTCACTTCCCACTTCATATAGCTCTATATTTAAAGGGACACTCCAGGCACCCAGACCACTAATGCCCATTGGAGTGGTGTGGGTGCCAACTTCCACTACCCTTAACCCTGCAACTGTAATTATTGCAGTTTCCAAAAACTGCAATAATTACTTTGCAGGGTTAAGTCCTCCCCTAGTGGCTGTCTAATAGACATCCACTAGAGGGCACTTCCTGGTCCATAGCACAGGTTTTGTGTGAGGACCTCCAGCGTCGCTAAAATCCCCATAGGAAAGCATTGAAAAGCATTTTCAATGCTTTCCTATGCAGAGGTCTAATGCGCGTGCGTGCATGCACATTAGGTCTCCACAGCCTAGCGGGCGGGATCAGTCTCCCCCGCCGGCTGACGTAATGAAAGGGAGGAGCGGCGGTGGAGGAAGAAGCAGAGACGAGGGACATCGTCGCTGCCTTTGGTAAGTGACTGAAGGGGTTTTCACCCCTTCAGCAACCGGGGATGGGAGGGGACCTGCAGTACCAGGAAAACTGATTGTTTTCCTGGCACTGGAGTGTCCCTTTAACAAATATGTATTTGTGTGGTGTAAAAACTAAAATTTAGAAATCCACACTTCTTTGTCCTGCAACCTAGTACTTCTATCATAGCTCTCTGGCCATCATTGTTATGAGTTTTGTCTTTTGCAGTTGGGCAAAGACAAAACATATAGACACGAGGTGAAATAAAGAAAAGTTTTTATTTCTGCTCTTGATTTGCAATGTTTGCCTTGCCTGTGCCTTGTGAAAGTTGGAATTTCCTAAATATATAATAGAAGTTTAAAAGAAAAAACAAAAACAAATTATAATGGGGAAAACGTGGTTAGCATGTGTTCTAGGTGATTTTCAGTGTGTATTCCAAAGACGTGACAGTCCCTTTTAATGACTGCATGTAGGTATAGAGCAGCACATACAATATAAGCAGTACAATCCATACAAGCAGACAGAATTTATAAGAAGAGGTTGTTTATTTTGCTGTAAATTACAGCTGAACTGTATACCCAGGTATACATACTAACTGGAAACTCAAGCAATGATAACCCATAAACAAGACTTGCATATTGCAAGTTATTACATAGCAGCTATAGTTTATAAAGTTGTTTGTTATACAGTCTATGGCAGTTTACAAACGGCCACATTTTCATCACACCAAGGCTAAAATAAGTTACAAGGACTTAAAGAGACACTATAGCTCAATGAAGTGGTCTAGGTGCCAGGTTCCCCAGGTTTTAACCCTTCAGATGTAAACCCTATAGATGTTTCAGTGAAACTGCTATGTTTACATAGCAGGATTAATCCAACCTCTAGTGGCTGTCTTCCTGATAGCTGCTAGAGGCGCTTCCCCAACGCTGAATGCGAAATTCACATCCAGCGTGCAGAACGTCCATAGGAAAGCATTGAGAAATGCTTTCCTATGGACTGTTTGAATGTGCATGCGTATTCCGCTCCACTCGGGAGCTGACGTCGGCGGGGGAGCCTCGCGCTGGATTTAGGTAAGTAGCTGAAGGGGTTTTAACCCCTTCAGCGCCAAGGGAGGGGGGACCCTGAGGGTGGGGGGTCCTAAGGATGCTACAGTGTCCGGAAAAGGAGTTTGTTTTCCTGACACTATAGTGATCCTTTAAAAAAATAAATAGCTTAAATGCAGTGGGATTTTAAGAATGGCAAGTATGCAATACGAGTTTAGAAATACTTTTTATTGTATATATAAGTGTATTTAATCATATATGCAAACGTTTAGCACAGTCTGTGATTTCATTATTCAATTCAAAATTATTGATCAATGAATACAGAAACTGCCAAAATATATTTTCATTTTATCAGATAAATTTCCACTTCAGTCGCTTGTATTGTAAAAAAAGATTTACTGCACAAATATTATCTGCATAGCTTCTTTGGCTATAAAGATACTGGCTGTGTCCACGTTTTAACAGCCAGTGACTAATGTAATGTAAAAATGTAATATATATATATATATATATATATATATATATATATATATATATATATATATATATATATATATATATATATATATATATATATATATAAATATATAAATAGCTAAATCAAAGGTTGCACTCACGGATTCTTAAAACATAGCTTTTATTGTGTACTCCTAAAAAAATCGACGTTTCAGTCCTATTCAAGGACTTTCATCAGGATCAGGATGATCCTGATGAAAGTCCTTGAATAGGACTGAAACGTCGATTTTTTTAGGAGTACACAATAAAAGCTATGTTTTAAGAATCCGTGAGTGCAACCTTTGATTTAGCTATTTGGATCCCTGGGAGTGCACCCGGTTTGGATACATGGAGTTTGAGTGCAAGGTACAGTGCTTTTTTTCTTTATTTATATATATATATATATATATATATATATATAATATATATATATATATATATATATATATATAAATAAATAAATAAACAGAGAATAACCGCACTCAGGGACTTGTAAATATCACTAAAACTTAACTTTTAATGTTCAAAATAAATCAAATCAAAGTTTCAGCCCCATATTTGGGCTTTCATCAGGATGGTAAAAACACAGACAACATGATTCAAGCTCATATATATATATATATACATAATAAAACACCAGCCTCATGTGTGTGGAGTCCAGCAGCTGCGTTCAGCTTGCACGTGGGAGTGCCGAGCAGACAGAAGCACCCAGAGAAGATAGACACAGCATTCCAAACTGTTGCTAAGCAACATCTGGAACGCACACAAGATCAGTAGCAGGGTGAGATCGGCAGAAAGACAAAATCCTACACTAGAACCATCACCATACTGACAAGACCCCAAAGATCAAAAATTTAAGTGATTTTGGACCATGACTCATGCCCGACTTTACAAAAAAAAAAGGTGCTCCATTATGAAGGGTTGTGACTGCATGAAGGAAATAAAAAAAAAATAAAAAAAGGAAACATTATCTTTAATTCCAAGAAAACACAAACCACAAATACGGACATGTGATTTTGTTCAGAAAGGACTGTATAATGTTGATTGCCTTTGAATTATGCAGACATTTTTTTTTTCCAGGTCCATGTCTGTAAATAAGAAGTCCATGGTTAATAATATGCTCTCATTCAAACATAATTAGGAGTCCTTTCCTCTGTTCTCTTGTACTGTTGGATCAAAACTGCTTCCTTCATACAGTACCTTGTTTTTCATTGCAGTTTTCAGCATATTTTGTTGTATTCTTAATTTTGCAGAATTGTATCTACAGTATATCCTAAAGGGAATAAAATTAATGTCAGATATCAAAATGTAATTTTGAGGCATACCATTTTAGGCTTCAATTAAATATTGTTGCATAAACCTTTAATAGTATAAAAAGTTTTTAAATATATTACATTAAATTATAGTACATAGGTTTTTAAACTTGTTCTTACACTCCTATTTTACAGTGTGCACAGTTTTAGTTTTCTTTCCTATATTTGCACCACCTATATATCCTAGAGTGGGGATCATACCACTTCATGCTATACTTCAGGAGCCAAAATAGAGGCTCCCTTATATGTTCTATGTTAAATTTTGTATATATTGTGAATGAATATTGTTTTTGTATTTTATTGTACCCTAATGTATCAATGCAATGTTTTGTAGACCCAGGACATACTTGAAAACAAGAGAAATCTCAATGTATGTTTCCTGGTAAAATATTTTATAAATAAATAATATGTGAGTGTACGTCCTAACAACTACTTATCTTTGGTAAAATACTACACTATATTATTTTATTCTGTTTCACTCCTTTGAGAATACCCACTACTATAAGTATTGCCTGCTGTCCCACTTTTACACTATATCCTGAGGCGGGGATCATTCCACCCAGGTGCTTTAGTTGGAGCTGAACTAAATCTCTATAAAAAAGGTGTGAGTACCTATTTTACATATCATTCCTTACTAAAATGTATCAACTTACTACACTATCAGTTCCTACTTTTTCTTCTTATCGTTACATATATCTCGTAGGGACAACCCAGGCGCTACACCAACCCCTTTGCTTTTATTGACTGTGATTTTACTGGACTAGAGAGACACCGGATCTGGGTGTTATGCTGTCTTGAACTATATAAGTAATTTACAAACACGGAGTATCCTTTTTATATTTATTAGTAATGCTATTGCTGAATGTCTCATGCCTGGATTGTGGCATGCACCAGCTCCCACTAACCAGAAATGATTTTGGCATTGGCATCCAATTTCGGTTGCACCATTCCAGATTGGATGCCACTGGCAGCAATTGTGGTGGTGGTCTATTGTTGAACTCCCTCACTAGTGAATAATCTGTCCTAAGCTAGGTCTGAGTGCAATCGCAAAACTTGTTTTTTAAAGGCAATTTAAACTGGCAATTTTGCTCCAAGAGTGACATACTTTCAGTAAACCAATCTGTGAAAATTCCAAAACTGAAATGGGCAGGTCACCTATCTGAATGTATAACTTCACAAACATCCTACAAATCCCAGCATGTGTAATATTTCTGTACTTGGGAGCTGTACTTTGCAGATTATAAATCTTGTGTCTTTACTGTAGTTGGACATAGACTGGTGAGACACATCAAAAACTGCACAAGTGTGAAATACAGGAAAAATACATACATTTGCACGTCTACAATGCCCAACTAATAATGAGGTTTATTGTAATCGGGTGCTGTAGCTAAACCCATTTGTTCTGCAAAAGTGCACATTAGAGTTACAATATTACCTGTTAAAATGCCATGTTTGCCTCCCCCTCCCACATTAAAAGCAAATACACCTAAAAATTATCACTGTTCTAGTGGCAAGGCCAAGTTTTCCCTGCAGGCAGATCCCCCACTGATGACGTTATTCCTCCTAGTATATCATAGCAGAACATGAGCAGCACAAGGCACTAGCTGAGAGCATCAACTTATCGCTCTCGTACAGTGAATAACCCTTTGTGCATAAAAATTTGCACATAACTGACAGCCAGTCCAGAACTCTTGTTCCGGGCTGCCTAACTATGCCACAATGATGCCACCAGAATTATACTTCCAGCATCAGAGGGGTTAAACTCTATTTGTTCAGAATTTCATATCTAAACACTACACATACACTTCAGACACTATGACCATTCAAATCACTTAAGCGCCCATGGTGCTTTAAAGTAAAAATCAGCAAGGCTGAGTGATACAATGGTTAAAGCAGCATTATCACAAACCCTTCCACCCCCCGAAAAATGAATCTTTATGAAATACAAATTTTGACTATGTTGGAATTTCACTGAAATAGGGACCACTTTGTCTCTATATTTCTCCTCTGCAGGAAATTGGCTGTGTCTTGTGTGATCCTCCAAAAACCTCAATGCTGTATTCTTGCGCGTGCATTGACATCAGCTCCTGGCTCTGAAGAGCACCCACCGGATAAAGATGGCCATGCCCATGAGGGCAAGATTCAGTTAAGTAAAGGTTACCAATACCTGCCCCATGGCCACGGAACACCCAGTGGCGATGTAAAAATTTTTAAAAACAAGTTAAACAATTGTAGCATACGATTTCAACATTAAAAATTGAGTCTGCACCTAAACTAGGCTTAAAGGATCACTATAGTGTCAGGAAAACGGTTTTCCTGACACTATAGGGCCTGAGGGTGCCCCCACCCTCAGGGTCCCCCTCCCGTGGCGCTGAAGTAGTTAAAACCCCTTCAGCAGCTTACCTTATTCCAGCACCGGGCTCCCTCGGCGCTCGTGACCTCTCCTCCCCCTGCCGACGTCAGCGGAGCTGAATGCGCGGCAAGTGCCGCGCGTGCATTCAAAGTGTCCATAGGAAATCATTTCTCAATGCTTTCCTATGGACACTCTGCGTGATGGAGGTGAAATATGCCTCCAGCGTCGTAGATGCGCCTCTAGTGGCTGTCCGGAAGACAGCCACTAGAGGCTGGATTAACCCCAAATGTAAACATAGCAGTTTCTCTGAAACTGCTATGTTTGCATCTGAAGGGTTAAAACCTGAGGGGCCTGGCACCCAGACCACTTAATTGAGCTGAAGTGGTCTGGGTGACTATAGTGTCCCTTTAAAATTTGAAGTCATATGTCACTAGCCAGGGCTAAAAATGTGAAGTCCTCTGCCACTAGCCAGCCCTTCAACATTACCACTACAAGTCATAGCATATTCACCAGGGTGAATGTGCATTTGCATTTTTCTATATTGTCATTTACTAATGTCTAGTGGACATTTTGAGGCCTCCTGTAGCAAATACAAATACAATCTTGAAGATGTGAAAGAGGGGTTAGTTGCCGACAACAGTAGAGTAGCCAATTACATCACTATGGAGTAGACAAAACTCACATTAGAAATCTCAGCAGTAAAGTGAAGGGACAGTCTCTCTGATGACCCTTGAATTTGGCACACTGGGTGCCCCCTCTTTGGAAATCACAAAAACTGGTCTCACCCTTATTTCAAGAAAGTATGCTCCATTTTTTGCGATTAGATTTTTGTTAAGTCTGGGACCTATTTAGAATATAAGTCAATCACAACAAGCCAGAAAAGGATCCACAGTTTTAGGTTCTTCAATAAACTTGGCCAGTAAAAAAAGGGGTCTGAATAATAAAAAAAAAAAGTTTATTTGATATCTTCCCATCTGCTATCTATGGACCTCTAAATACATATTTTGTATATTTAGTTTTACATGAACTAAGATGACTTCGTTTAGCAATATCCTTATCATAAACCAAATTTCAGTATTTTCACATGTGTAGTAACAGTTTGTGGATATTCACACTGTATAACCTGTTGGTGCGTTATTTGCATATGGAAGCTGCATTGGAGAAGTACAAGCATGTTGATATCATTACACTTTTGTAATAAAATGAGTTATGGCTTAAACATTGTGACATCTCCATTTTTGTGTTTGAATAAAACATGTTCTTCCTTTTTCATGTTATTCATGCATCCCTAATTTTCTATTTTTTTTTTTATAAATACACCACTGCCACCACTTACCAAGAGCTAAGTGTAGTGAGAATAAATCCTCCAACAGCTAGGTCACAAGAACGTCTAACTCTACCTGTAACGAAAAGAAGCCACTTACTCAAAAATAAATTTTTTTAAAACGGCTTGTATCAAAGTTATTTAAAAAAAAATAAAATAAATTCAAAGCCCTATGTCAACAAAGCTTTTTGGCATGCCCATGGCAAGGTAAACACTCATTTATATTGTTGAAGGGACGCTAAGCATCGTTACCACTACAAAGTTCTGTAGTGTTTATAGTGCCAGGAGTCTATAATCAATAATTGTGGCATGAGTGCAAGGGATTGGGGGGGTGCATGTGTTTATATATATATATATATATATATATATACATATACATATACATACATATATACATACATACACACACACACTCACTCTCTCTCTCACTCTCCCACACCCCCCCTCTCCCTCCCCCATCAAGGTTTGCACCTATTGTGAATAATGAATGGGAAATAAGTATGTCCTCCCTGCAACACTATTGTTGTACTATAGTGCTAGGAGTACCCGGTCATCGCCTGGTGGATACCTGTCAAACTATTATGAATATTTATCAGTTTGCTGTGTTGGGAGCATGTACTTTTTCCCGTTTGAGATCCGCATTATTATACTAACTGATGATAGATCTCAGCCAGTGAATACTGTCTAAACATAATATGAGCAGAATGCTGATGCAAAAGTTTGTTATGTAAGGACAGGATTGGCTGACAGATTTCAGACATCTCTTTGTTGAAGATAATGTCATACAGAGTTATTCACCAACATGTGAGTTGCCTTAAATTCTATTTAAATATTTTGACCAAAATAGCGGAATTTACAAAAAAAAAATGCTCCTCTTCGATTCGCTACAAATCCCACCTTACTCTATAATCATGTAAGAAGGTGCAACACATGACTGTTGAAAACTAGACATAAAAGAATTGCCATTATACATGAAAAACCATCTCCCATGGAGTTCCATTTTATAGGAAAATTTTCATTTTTTTCTCTCTAATAAGTAACATGCTTTGTTTTAATGCATACACATATTAACATATCTTTTTATTTTTATTTGACACCAAGTGCAATTGATCCTTTGTCAGAGGCAGCTTTTACCCAAGTAAGGAGGACTCTGCATTGTGAAGTCTTGATGTGCATTTAAAATACAATGAAGTCTGTAATCCCCATGTGCAGATTGCGCAGTGTAAGTCGACTCCAACCTCACACAGTGCAAAACACCACATAGCCAGGTGCTCTGTGCTAACCAAGATTACAATGATTTAACACCAATAAGCTTCTACTTAGACCTACAAATATATTGTCTTATGTCTCCTTGAAGAAAGTACAAGACAGATGTAGATGCAACTGACGTGCCCTCAAATGATCTGCACTGCATCTACAAGTTCAAGCATGTGGGTGCAAGCATTGAAGGATGTCTTGCAGTTAGTTGCCTGTGAAGTTCAAGGGCCATGACTAACATTTACGTTTTGTTTTTGTTTTTTGAAAGTGCATTTGTGCACATCTATGTATATAAGGAGGAAGACAGAGGAACTTTCTCCTAAGTTTTTCTGTTATAAATCTGGCAGCCTGTCAGGTGGTATGCTGCAGCTTTTGAAGAACTCTCTGCAGTGTGTTTGGGATGGGCAGATTTCTAAACTCTATACCAAACAGGCGATGCCCAAATATCGATTGACAGAAATTTTAGTAGTATATCCTGTAATAATAAGGTGCTGATTGAAAACATCACTGAGGATCCTACCATGCACTGGGAATCCATGGCACATTTGTCAGGGCTGAAATGCCACTTGTAGGTGTCTAGTGGGTAAGAAGACATTTTAAACCCTGGAACCATTATACAGATTAACTTTTAACTAATAAACTTGATTGCAAAGATAGCATATAAGGAAACTTAAAGTGGCACTGTTCCGCCCCACCCCCTACAATTCCAATCCAGCCAAAAGATATACTGAGACAAAGTAGGGACACTTCTTGACACTGGGTGGAGCTACTGGGCGGCGCGCAGCTACCTCCGGGCGCTTAGCAAAAGAGGACCAGCTAAAAGATTTCACTAAAAGTAAGTACAAACATTCTTTACAAATATATACATACAGTGAGGTAAAACATAATGTGATCCCCTGCTGATTTTGCACGTTTGCCCACTGACAAAGTAATAATCTGTGTATATTTTTAATGGCAGGTGTATTTTAACAGAAAATTCTGTGAGAGACAGAATTACAAGACAAAAATCCAGAAAAACGCATGTCAAAAAAGTTATAAATTGATTTGCATGTCAATGAGTGAAATAAGTATTTGACCCCTTCGACTTAGTACTTGGTGACAAAACCCTTGTTGGCAATCACAGAGGTCAAAGGTTTCTTGTAGTTGGCCACCAGGTTTGCACACATCTCAGGAGGGATTCTGTCCCACTCCTCTTTGCAGATCCTCTCCAAGTCGTTAAGGTTTCGAGGCAGACGTTTGGCAACTCAAACTTTCAGCTCCCTCCACAGATTTTCTATGGGATTAAGGTCTGGAGACTGGCTAGGCCACTCCAGGACTTTGTTAAAAACCAAGATATAGTATATAAACACCGTGGGGAAGTATAATAAGAAGGGTGGTATAGCACAAAATAATATATAGAGCATACAACCTGAAAAGAACAGGAAGGGATATGGTAGTATCTCCATGAGCTTTATGTGCTTCTTCTTGAGCCACTCCTTTGTTGCCTTGGCTGTGTGATTTGGGTCATTGTCATGCTGGAATACCCACCCACGACCCATTTTCAATACCCTGGCTGAGGAAAGGAGGTTCTCACCCAAGATTTGATGGTACATGGCCCTGTCCATCATCCCTTTGATGTGGTGCAGTTGTCCTGTCCCCTTAGCAGAAAAACATCCCCAAAAGCATAATGTTTCCACCTCCTTGTTTGAAGGTGGGGATGTTGTTCTTGGGGTCATAGGCAGCATTCCTCTTCCTCCAATCACGGCAAGTTGAGGCCAAAGAGCTTGATTTTGGTCTCATCTGACCACAACACTTTCACCCAGTTCTCCTCTGAATCATTCAGATGTGCATTGGCAAACTTCAGACGGGCCTGTACATGTGCTTTCTTGAGCAGGAGGACCTTGCGGGCGCTGCAGGATTTGAGGCCTTCACGGCATAATGTTTGACCAATTGTTTTCTTGGTGACTATGGTCCCAGCTGCCTTGAGATCCTTAACAAGATCCTCCAGTGTAGTTCTGAGCTGATTCTTATGATCACTGAAACTCCACGAGGTGAGATCTTGCATAGAGCACCAGACCGAGGGAGACGAACAGTTATTTTGTTTTTCTTTCATTTGCAAATAATCACACCAACTGTTGTCACCTTCTTACTAAGCTCCTTGGCGATGGTCTTGTAGCCCATTCCAGCCTTGTGTAGGTCTACAGTCTTGTCCCTGACATCCTTGGACAGCTCTTTGGTCTTGGCTAGACAGAGTTTGGAATCTGATTGATTGCTTCTGGGGACAGGTGTATTTTATACAGGTAACGAGCACTTTAAGAGAGTGCTCCTAATCTCAGCTCATTACCTGTATAAAAGACATCTGGGAGCCAGAAATCTTGCTGATTGATAGATAATCAAATACTTATTTAACTCATTGACATGCAAATCAATTTATAACTTTGACATGCACTTTTCTGGATTTTTTTGTTTTGTTATTCTGTCTCTCACTGTTAAAATACACCTACCATTAAAATTATAGACTGATCATTTCTTTGTCAGTGGGCAAACGTTCAAAATCAGCAGGGGATCAAATACTTTTCCCCCTCACTGTATAAACAAACATATGTTAAACAGTTTCACAAATCGTGTTTAACCCCTTAACGCTGTTACGGCGTTCTATGCCGTCCCGCATTAAAAGGGCTTTAAAGCCGTTGCGTCGGCATAGAACGCCGTAACGGCTTTGAGCCCTGGAGCCTCAGAAATACTTACCTTCCCGGCGCTCCGCTTCGGGAGGACTGCCTGACAGCCCAGCCAGCCCTCCCTGGCAAAAGAAGCCCCCGGGGGCCATGTGATCGCTCAGTTCCCCTGAGAAAAATGTTCAAAGGGCACTTACATTAATCCAAAAAACGCTCCCGGCGCACCCCCCGTCTGATGTCACATCGAAAACATCTCATATTGAACTTTTAATTGGACCAATTTTTTCCTGGCTCAAGGTGCATGCGAGGGCTCTGAGCCGGCGAAGGAAGGGGATTTGTAAAAAAAAAAAAAAAAATTGGCGATGGTATTGGGAGAACGGAGGTATCATTGCATATTTTAACTCTCAATATTTCAAGGACAATTTAAAATTTATTTTAGTACTGGAGGGGGTAAAATTAGTTTCACAGGTATGTCACTTACTTGTTGCCAGAAAGTGTCCAACTCCGATAACCAAAGAGCCAACAGATCCAAAAAGTATGGATTCTCGGACACATGGTGTGTTTCGAACATCAAGAATTCCCAATAATTTAAAGGACTAGGAAGAAAAGATTAGGACTTGTTATTAAATGGAGGAAGAATAGCAGGGCTATTCACTAAACTCTGATTTGTAGCAAATCAATTCCTTGCAAAAATGGAAACTAAAATAGTGAAACTGTGATTATAGTTAAATTGAAAGATAATTTCAGACCAGCTATTTTTGCCTACATTTAGCCATTTGGATTTTAATTTACAATACAATTTATTGTTTAGTAGTCTCTAAAAGACCCCTACCTACTGCAATCCTTATGTTTAATCTTCATAATTGATAAATATCTTAATGTTTTTCAGTTTATATAGGAAAATAAAGCCTATGCCCTCTAAAAAGGGTTGTCTAAGCACCAGGTACAATACAGTGTAATAGTTATGATTCCATTAGGCAGCAGATGCCTCTCCCTGTTTCTGGATCAAAACATTTCCAGTTTAACCAAAGCTCAAAGCACCTGGGACCCAGCCTCCAGGTGCTGATATTGCAAAAGTGAAATCTCTATTTCAGCATTAGCAGCATTGATTTCAGCCATATTTGGATGACAATGCCGATAAACTCTTACAATCAATGCATCAGCTGAGTGCAATTTTTATTCCGCATGGGAATTTCAAAGATATGCTAGTATGCTTGATCCAGACTTAAAGGGAATCTATAGTGCCAGGAAAACAAAGCCATTCCCTCGTGCCTCTGCTCCCTTACCTGAAGCCTGCACCAATGTCCCTCGGGACTGGGTCAGGCTCCACCCATGCTCCTCCACTGCCAAAGGTGGCAGGGGAGACCTAATCCGCATGTGCGGCAATGGCCGCACTCACGTTAGGATTTTCCCCAAAGAAAAGCATTAATCAATGCTTTCCAATTGGGAAAAATGACGCTGAAGGTCCTGATGCAGAGCGTGAGGACGTCCAGCGTCAGATACTGGACTAAAGGTCTGTTTCGATTCAGGAAGCCTTCTAGTGGCTGTCTGGTAGACTTAGAGCTGCAATGTCAACAAAGTTCAAAAGGGACACAGCACCCAGACCACTTCAATGAGCTGAAGTGGTCTGGGTGCCTACAGTGTCCCTTTAACATTATTTCATGGATGAATAAATTCTCCCAGTGCTGCGAAGAATTCATGGGAGCTCTGTAGAGATCCAAACAGTTCTCATAGAGAAAGAAGCCTTTGATTGGACCATTTGCACTCTGAGCTGGGAAAGGGGAAAGGGAGGGGGGGGGAATTGTGCATTGGATAGAGATCCAATGCACCATCTCCTTTGAGCAAGTGAGTGTGGTGGTGCAGGGCTTATCTCTGGCTCTGAGTGGACCGGAGAAGGGCGGTAGTTGTTATGGTGCCAGGATTTCCCTCCTGCAGAAGAAGCCAGATGCCTTCATATGGCATAAAGCATGACCGATCCATGACGCTCTCATCCAATGAGTGCAATCCTGCACAGACCTATCTAGCTCAGAGGAGCTAATCGGATTCTCCTTCAAGGAGAATTAAGATGTCACAGCTGGCAGCCAGTGAGCTGTGCAACTGTATTTAAAAATGAAATTACAGTGGTAGAGCAGCACTATAGAGGGCTGTATTGGTTATGGTTCTTGGAATGTCCCTTTAACACACAGGTGACATATACTGTATGCAATGTTTTATTTATGGTGCAGTCTGATTGAACATATGATGGGCATTCTATCACTCTGGGCATTATTCACTGCCTGCCTGTGTGCCATTCAGCACAGTCACAAAGCACACACTTTATACAATAACAGATTAGAACATTCGGATGTAGAACTTGCACAAACCGTACCGCAGCTTGCCCTGACTGTGCACAATCTAAATCAGGTGAAGTGATGCGAATCATTGTACTTCAACCGACCCCTAATGGATTACCTTCTCCTTCGCTAACTCACTTCCCTCATCCGCCATTTTGGTTGCAGACACCTATTTCAACCTTCACTAGACCTGCCCACCATAAGCGAACGACAACGTCAATGGAGGCCAGAGCGTCTCCAGGCTGATCGAGCGACGCTCTCTGAGGAGGCTCTCGCTGGTTGGCGGAAGTGACGTCAATCGTCGCCATGTTAGGGGTTTGTTGTAGGCTGGAGTCAGCGGGCGTGTGCTCTGCTAAAATGGGGGAAAATACCGCCATGGGACTGCTGAGCGCGTGTGTGGGGAGAGACGGTTTATAATCATAAATCCATGGCGGCTTTATTTTGTCATTGCTGTGTGACTATAGTAACACTCTAAACATGTCCTATGTCTTACAATCAATGTGCTACATGGAACAGTAACCACATTCACAGCCCAACACTGCTGCTATAATAAGGCTGCGCACTCCTTAGTGACCGGGTATACGGCATTCCCTGACTGAAACCATCTTGGCACGTTTCTTAGGTGTCTGTTCCGCTATAATACAACGCCTTATTTAGTGCTCTCATTATATATATCTCTCATTATTTTGGCCCTTATACGTAAATCTGTTTTACTACTAGTTAATATGAATAAAATGGGCAAAACATGAGGTAATTTATCTACAGATTCTCATAATGGGACACTAAGCATCAGAACCGCTACATCTTTATTGTAGTTGTTTTGGTGCAAAGATAATACGTTTTTGCTCTTACAATTTAAAATTAAACTACCATGGTTACAGGTTTCTTTGGCAGCCAGACAGGCACAAGAGCTGCTTCCTTTTCAAAACTTGATTTTTAAAGGTCTTCACATTATGCCTTGTCACACTCAGCATGAAAATGCTGAATGCATCTAATGCTGCCATCTCATAGGTGGCTGGGAGAGTTTTTGAAGGGTTATTAAAGGATGATAGTCAGAAATCTATTGTGAAGAGCATTGTTATTAGCAATAACCAGCATGGTATTAAGTAAGCAGAAGTACAGATCAGGGTGTTGCAGTAGATGTTGTCTACTTGGATTTTGCCAAGGCGTTTAATTTTCATCTTCACAATAGGTTACTTTTTAAACTAAAAGAAATTGGTCTAGATCATGGGTCGTCAACCTGGTCCCTACCGCCCACTAGTGGGCGTTTTAGGATTCCAGGTGGGCGGTAGGGATTTCGGAGGCTAAATCCTCTTTTTAAGAGGATTTCTCCTTTTGGGCGGGCGCGAGCGGATCTGCGTGCGCAAGTCTTCAGTGACCGATAGGAGGAAGTGCTCCCTCCTGACAGGCCACCTTCTGGACCCCCCCCCCAGCATGGCAGAGTTCTAATCAGACGTGGCGAGGGAGCTCTAACCTCTCTGCTCTGCTCCCTTGCGCGATGTTTGCTGATGCCGCGGGAGCCGGAATATGACGTCATCTTCCGGCTCCCGGCATCAGTAGACAGTCTGCGAGGGAGCAGAGCAGAGAGGTTAGAGCACCCTCGCCGCGTCTGATTAGCCGCCCGCCGAAGTGAAGCCCCACTGGACCCCAGGGACAGATCCACACCAGCTCTCCAGGTAGGGAGGCTGGGTGGACATTTAATATTAATAATTTGTGTGTATATGTGTTTGTTTGTCTGTAAGTGTATGTGTGTGTGTGTCTGTAAGTGTATGTGTGTCTGTGTCTGTAAGTATATGTGTGTGTGTGTGTGTATGTGTGTGTGTGTGTGTGTATGTGTGAGTGTCTGTAAGTGCATGTGTGAGTATGTGTATATTTGTGTGTATGTGTATGTGTGAGTGTTTGTGAGTGTGTGTGTCTGTAAATGTATGTGTGAGTGTGTGTGTGTTTGTCTGTGAGCAGAGTACTTGTAGAATAGAAGAAAGAAGGTGCAGAGTACTTGTAGAATAGGAGAAAGAAGGAGTAGAGTACTTGTAAAAAAGGAGAAGGAAAGAAAAGGAAAGGAGAGAATTGTTGTTGACTAATAATAGTAAGTGGGCTACCTAGCTCAGCCTTCCTACTGGGCATTGCTATAAGTAAGGTTAAAAAATAGAAAAAAGGTGGGGAGGGGAATTGAGGAGGGAGAGGAGGGGAGCTGCTGACGCACAGACGAGAAATCATTTTATGAGCAAACAAAGAAGTCTTCTGATTATCACCGAAAGAGGAGACCTTCGTTTGTTCCTTACGAAAATCGAACCAGATATCAAATATTTAGTCTCGCAGCATCAACCTCAAGGATCTCATTAATCACTAGTAAAGGTAATTTCAATTTACTTTATTGCTTCCTCATTAAACTTTATAAAGTTAAAAACATTATAAACATGCATAAAGTAGAAATAAAAAGATAAATGTACATTTATTTTTTAAGACACCCTCCTTTCTAAAAAATATTCCGCGCTTGCGCGAAAACTGGTGGGCGGTAAGGACATTTTTCCAACAAGAAAGATGCATTAGTGGGCGGTAAGTGGAAAAAGGTTGACTACCACTGGTCTAGATGAAAATTCAAGATTTTCCACAAGACAGGAGGCGAGTATTATGCAATAACTTTACTTAACCCCTTCAGGACGGGTGACGGACGAGGTCCGTCACACAGGGGAGACCCTTAACGACGGGTGACGGACCTCGTCCGTCACGCGGTAAAATTAACCCCGGATCGCCGCTATCGCGGCGATCGCGGGGTTAATGGTGCTCCCGGTATGCCTCTGCATTGGAGGCATACCGGGAGCACCCGGTCAAGCTGCCCAGCACATGTGCTCGCTCTGACCACAAGTCGGAGCGAGCACATGTGCTCTGAATACTTACCTACCGGCTCCCTGCACTTCCGGGTTCTGTGTGAAGTGCAGGGAGCCGGATCAGTGCTGATCCTGCCCCCTGCTGTTTAAAAAAATAAAGTTTATTTAAAGTCCCCCTTACCCATTTTAATAAAAAATTAACCCCTTCCCTGCCAATTGATCACTGACTACAGTGATCAATTGGCAGGGATTACATTTTACTATGATCTGATTTTTTTTTTTAACCCCTGAGGGTTAATTCTTTTTTTTTAACCCTCAGGGGTTAAATTAATTAAATTAATTAATTAACTTATTTTTAAATTATATATTTAGATAGCTGGGGTAGGTGGAAGTTAGTGGGGAATTGGGGGATTTGACGTTAGGCTAACTAGGGGTTAACGTTAAAAAAAAGTTTTAAAAGAAACTTTAAAAAGTTAAAAATTAAGCTTAAAAAAATGTTTTAATAACATTTAAGTAATAAAAACAAAAAAACACACTTTACCTAGTCCAAATAAAAATTAACCCCTTCCCTGCCAGTCAGGGCCGTCTTTAACGCGGGGCAAACGGGGCAGCTGCCCCGGGCCCAGTTTCTCTGACCCCGGCGGGCAGTCTGGGTGGCCGGCCGGTCGGGCAGGCAGGCGGGCGCGCGAGGGAGCACTCAGAGCTTCCTCTTCAGCTCCCTCGCGCACCGCACTGATGCCGGAGCCGGAAGATGACGTCATCTTCCGGCTCCGGCATCCCTACGCGGCGCGTGAGGGAGCTGAAGAGGAAGCCCTGAGTGCTCCCTCGCGCGCCCGCCTGCCTGCCCGACCGGCCACGCGCCCAGGAGCCCCACTGGACCCCAGGGAATCCCCCCAGCACTCCAAAAGGTAAGGAGGCTGGGGGTATTACATTAAAAAAAAAAAATGTGTGTATGTGTGTGTTAGTGTATGTGTTTGTGTGTGTGTGTGTTTGTGTGTTAGTGTATGTGTGTGTTAGTGTATGTGTGTTAGTATGTGTGTGTTAGTGTATGTGTGTGTTTATGTGTGTTAGTGTGTGTGTTTGTGTGTTAGTGTATGTGTGTTAGTGTGTGTGTTTGTGTATGTGTGTTAGTGTGTGTATGTGTGTTAGTGTGTATGTGTGTTAGTTTGTGTGTTAGTGTATGTGTGTGTTAGTGTATGTGTGTGTGTGTGTCAGCATGTCTGTGTGTGTCAGTATGTCTGTGTGTGTGTCAGTATATATGTGTGTGTCAGTATGTGTATGTGTCAGTATGTCTGTCAGTGCGTCAGTATGCCTGTTAGTGCATGTGTATGCATGTGTCAGTATATCTGTCTGTGTGCCAGTATGTCTGTGTGTGTGTGTGTGTCAGTATATCAGTCTGTGTGTGTCAGTGTATGTGCCTGTGTGTGTGTGTCAGTATTTCTCAGTGTGTGTGGGTGTCAGTATTTCTGTCAGTGTATGTGTGTCAGTATGTTGATCAGTGTATGTGTCTGTGTGTGTGTGTCAGTATGTCGGTATATGTGTCTGTGTGTCAGTATGTCGGTATATGTGTCTGTGTGTCAGTATGTCTGTCAGTACGTCTACCAGTGTATGTGTCTGTGTGTGTCAATATATGTACCTGTGTCAGTGTGTCTGTCAGTGTATGTGCCTGTTTATCTGTATGTAGTCAGTGTATGTATCTGTGTATCTGCTTGTGCGTCAGAGTGTGTACCTGTGCATCTGAGCCGCAACTTTAAATTCAAATACACACCTCCGTCAACACTACATACAAGCACACTCCTACATTCAAAAACAAACACTACACATAAATGCACACTTGCATTCAAACTCCAGTACCACATACAAACACATTCACACAAACATACTCCATACAAACACATGCTTACATTCAAACATACTAACATGGCTCAGTGCTAAATACAACCCCGCAAGCATGGGAAATTGGTAGAGTCCCAGCTGTCAAAGCATTGTTGGAGTTGCACGACAGATGGGGTTCTACCTTTAGTCCAACCTTGCAGTTGGGGGTCCCAATAAAATTCATTCTACTTTAGTACCGCCACTGCGTTGGGATGGATGCCGTGATTGCATACCAGGGAGTGAGGGGCGAGAGCGGCAGGGCACAGGGGGCCCAAGCAAACACTTGCCCAGGGTCCATTCGTTATTAAAGACGGCCCTGCTGCCAGTCGATCACTGCCTACAGCGATCAAATAGAGATCACAGTATTATACTGTGATCTAATTTTTTTTAACCCCTGAGGATTAACTTTTATTTATTTATTTTTAACCCTCAGGGGTTCAATTTATTTAATTAATTAATTTAAATATTTTATAACTATATATTTTGCTAGCTGGGGTGGGTGGGAGTTATGGGAAAATGGGGAATTTACTGTTAGTGCTGCGCACTGCTAGTTAGGGGTTAACAGTAAAAAAA